TGACTGCCAAGGATGCATTGAAGAAAACATCCTCAAAGCCAAAGACGAAACGGAAGAGCTCGTCTCGGAGGGTGATAAGCTGGCCATATTCCAGCGTAGACAGTCGCTGCTGCAGATCGCGGATGGTAGATGTTGTGACGGGTAGGTCAGGTGCTTGATATCCTGCTAAGCCTTTTGCCACACTCTGATCCTCTTTCGTTGCGGTCCCAAGGTAGGCAACGGCTTTAGTGAGTGAATCCAGAAGCCATGCCCCGCGCGTAGAGATCCACTGGATCGCAAGCTTTGGAGATGCGTTTATATACACAGCGGCACCTCTGCAAAGTGACTGGCTTGTCATTTGGGCGTCACAACCCGACTGATAGACGGAGCCATCGCCTTCACAGTATCCCTTATAACCCCGGTAATGTAGCCTGCAATGTTTGGCCTCTTTCTCTCTCGTTTTTGTGGCGGTTCGCAGCTGCCATCTTCAGTCTCTAGCAGTTCATCCCAGCTCAGCACGGCTTCTTCTTGTGAATACGGTTGGTTTTCCAGGCAGATCAGATTCCGCAAACCGCGGTGCTAATTGGAAAAGATATTCTGATGGCTCATAGTAACAGATGGAAAGCAAACCAAAAGCGTGAACCATACACTGCTGCCATCTTTCACAGGCCTTGTATATAGACACACCTTGTACAACCGATCTCTTGATGCGAGCAATATGCAGAAATAATTCTCCAGAAGCCGCAATAGAAAGCTGATGTTTGCGAGCGAAACACGTATCGACTGCTCTTCCAAATGTGTGCCACATCAACGCTATCAACGCAGCATCATGCACAGATTTGAGCCCGTAGCAACGTCAGCATTCATAACTAAAATTCCACAAGCACGCTCAAATCATCCACGGTACAACCGAGAGCGTCATTAGTTTGCACATTAGCACGCAGTTGAGCTCGTCGTTATAGCTGGCCATCTTGTCTCGTATTTTACCGATTCTCTTCGAGTCGCTGAGCGAATTAGTGTAGCGTTCACGAAGCATACTCTCGACTTGTGAAAGTAGCCTAGCGCTGTTGCCTTTGCTAATAGCCCATCGACAGCTCTGGCTTTCCTGCTCCTTTTCATCTGCACAAAAATTGAAACGCTGTTAGAAGTGAGTACATATTTTGAGTAGGAAGACTTGATGCTTCAATATGTGCTCTGTTTATGGCGTCTATATCTACTATAGATAGACCTATTGATATAAGAAACTCGTCAAACATCTTCTCCGCTGCCACATCCTGGCCTGTAGTGCCTGCTGGGATGTCCAGCCCTCTCGATGCTCTTCTCATGGCCTCCCAACTCTCACGCTGAAGAAGAGCGACTCGCAGCGCGCATTTATCTATGTCTTATACTGTAACGACTCCATTCCGGCAAAAATGCAATTATACGGTAAATGAGTGTTTCTCTTAGTTTCATTAAGGATGTTATCAGTAATTGCGACTACCTCCGGATGATTCCAAAAGTAATCTGGACCGTGATAAACCTAGCCCTTGTAAGGTCTCGTTGATTGAATATGTCATGGAACGGGCTGGCATGCAAAATCATTGGCTACACAAGGTCAAATTGTGTTCTAGGGATTGGGCCTCCGGCTTGTCCTACAGTAAAAACGAGTTCTCAAGCACATCCCCAAAAATAAGAGCCAATCAGTAGGTAGCTTCCAAACTACTCGAACAAAGTATGTACTGAATTATCGGTTTCAAAGAAGGAAAAAAAACCTTGAGGTTATAGAATTTGCGCCCGCTCGCCACTCGCCTCACTTCACCCTTTTAGCCGTCACCAGCGATGCCCGCCCCACGCGCCCTAGCGCACAGCTGACACTACCCGGACCAGGCAGAAGCCACCTACGACATGGCGCTCGCGTCCGCCGCCGTTTCCTGAAAACAGACTCGAAACCCGGCAGGGCTGGCGAAATGTTGCCAGATTTTGCTTCTGGTGGCCGTTCGAGAGCTCGCCATTCCACATCAGCGCTACTGCAGTTGGTCAAAGTTGGTGTAATCTCGTGGGATTCGTTTTGGGCAAGTTCTGACAAATGTGTGTGTGTGTGTTTATTGATTTTTTGGTGTGGTGAGTACGTGGCAATGGCAACATGTTATCGTTATGCATGATGTAGGGAGGAATATATTAATGCGAAAATACAAGCCCACATATACTACGACTCCAAGGCTTTCTGCTTCCTTTGGTGACTGTCTGGCGTGCAGCGATCGACTATGCCCCTCCACCTGCTTTGCGTGTGAACACAGCACATCATAAGCGCCTCGGTGGTCAGTACGCAGCTTTCTCCAACGCTTTCGGAGAACCTGCTGCCTTCGAGCGACCTTTGCCGTCCAGCTTGCCTAGTACCGCGTTGTCTTCGTGCCCAAGTCCGCGGAGAGCGTTCACAGTGCTTACTTCCACAGCTGATGTGCGACGCCGTCTGGATCTAAAGGTGCTGCCGGTACGTCCACGTCTCGCCCGGCCACAATGATCATGATGTTGATGCACGCTTTCAGATCGGCACGGACGAACTGCTACTTCTTTTGCGTTGCTGTGTTCCAAAGATGAAGCGTGTACCAGTTGTAACAGCACCCAGCAAGCGAGTGTGCCTCAACAACAACGTCGGCGGTGCGGTGAGAGCGTGGATTTTCGGTCACGCAGCTACACGAGGTATTGTCTGGAGAAGACGACGATGACGCTTCTTGAATCGTGACGAGTTTCTGCAGCATCCGCTGCAATGTTGACACCGAGGACAGCAGCTGCGTTACAGCGGCAGCAAGAACGGTCGTGTCTCCACCGCTACGTTCACCGAGCTGAGCGAAGTTCTCTGTTTCCACGATGTGCACAGGTGGCGTCATCATCGAAAACACGTTTCCGGAGACAACCGGCACCCCAGCGCAGCATTTGTAGTGTCAAGTGCTTCCAGCAAGTGGTACAAGTAGTGGGATCTGTAACCCGCCGCTGCCTGCTCCTTCGTGATGACTGCAGCCACGTCTTCAAGGTGGATCAACAGCGACGCGAGTGCTGCATCCAATACGTTGCTGTCAACGTTCAGGGACACGTCCGTGAAGACACACACGTTTTTTTTAAGAGTTGGCGGCGCAATGCAAGCAGTTGGGCATACTCCAGATCAGGTAGAACTTCCTGCAGGGTCGAGATGGTTGGGGTACTACACGGCAGATGCGGGTCTCGGTATCCGGCCAAAACTTTGGCAACGCTTTGATCTTCGCGAGTGGTAGTACCAACATACGCGAACGCCTTCGTGAGCGAATCCAGCAGCCACGCACCTCGCGTTGAAATCCATTGGATCGCCAGTTGCAGAGGCGTTCGCGTACGCTGCGGAACCTCGTCGGAGTGCGTGACTTGATAAGCCTGGAGTGATGGGCGGCGGCAGTGGTGCAGCCTTTTCAGTGATACGCTTTGTGGCTTCTACGATGACGTCATTTATATACTTGGCAACACTTGGACGCCCTCGCACGCGCTTCACGTGTGGCTCCAGCTGCGCTTCTGCTTTCTCTTCAAGGTCTTCCCAATAGAGTATGGCTTCTTCTTGCGTGTACGTCTTCTGTCCTGGCAAGTCTGAGGTGGTTGCATGGGGAACTAGCGGTAACACGTAGCTAGATGACTCAAATGCGCCCACAAACAGCATGCCTGAAGCATGGGACATGCACTGCTCCCATTTCTTCGCTGACTTGTATATAGATATTCCTTGAACCACGAATGTTTTAATCCTTGCTACATGCAAAAAGAGCTCCCCTGATGCCGCGATCGAAAGCTGGTTTTTACGGGCAAAGCATGTATCGATTGTTCGACCAAAGGTGTAACACATTAATGTCAGAACCGCGGAGTCGTGCAAACTGTTGAATCCACCACCGACACCTTTGATTGCTGTCTCTTGCACAAGCGCGCATAGATCGTCGAGCGTGCAGTCGGGAGCCTCCCCGGTTTGCACCCCTGCAAACAGGTTCCGCTCGTCAATGGCTGCAGCCATTTTTTCTCGATTTTTTGCAATTCTCTTGTTATCAGACAAATGCGTAGGATACCGCTCTCGTAGCAAATTTACCACTTGTGACATATAACCCACAGCGGTGGCCTTCGCAAGAAGGCATCCTCGAGAGCAAGTCTTTGTTTGCAGAAAAATTGAGAAAGCGGTTAGCAGTGAGTAAAAATTCTGACTTGGCAGAGCGCCAGGAGCCACAAGTGATATAGCGATTGAACTTAGATACTCCTCGGTCATGTTACCCAGCGATAGAAACTCACTAAAGCATTTAAGAGCAGCTTGCTCCTGTCCTGCCGTACCTTGCGGGATGTCAAGCCCTCGTGCTGCACGTTGCATCTTTTCAAATGGCAGATAACTTGGCAAACTGACTCCAGTTCTTATCAGGAATATCTCGGTTTTATTGGATAATTTGGAGAATCACTTGATAATTGTAAAGAGACTTACTGAATAATTTGAGAATACTCCCAAAATAATTGGGAAAATGTTGGGGGATAATCAAAAAACAATATGATTGGCTGAAATATGGTGTACTCCAAATTCATTGGCTGACTAAGGCTCTCAGTAACATAGGTTTAGGAGATTGAAAACAAAAATTGGGAAAATAATTGCTTATCCTACATAAACGAGTGCCTTTCCGGAAATTTGGTTCGTTCTGATTGGTTGCATTTTAGTCTGGCAGCCAATCTTTGATTTGGGTTGAATTTCCAAAAATCTGGCCATTGAGTTGCTGGGTTTGTGCTGACCTAAAATCCATTGTGACGTTATTCAGGCAATGGCTGCAATGCAATACATGTACGTGATTTTTGAGTTCTTGCGGTGGTGCTCAAATTTCTTTGTGGTTTGCTTCAACCTGTTGTCGCCTGGATTGCCAGCAGGCGACGTCGCCCACGTGGCGGGTGGGATGGGTAGCCACCATCTGTTTCTCAAAAGTGGGTGAGCAATTGAATTCGTCGGGTAACGCGATCAAGTGCTTACATTTCGTGTTTGTATGGTGTATCCATTTTGGTGGTGCGTTCCAACCGTGAATTGTCAAGGACTGTGGTTGGCTCGTCGTCAAAAACGTCAGCAGCTCTCTCCCCTCTGCGTGCGCCAGTGTTGGGCACAACCTCACTTCCGCATTTCCTCGTGCGCCCACAGATCATCACTCTGTTTTCTTCTCACGCCTCGTAACATGCGCGCCGCCCTGCAGCTTTCCCGCCGTCTACGTTCGCCCGCCGCTCGCGTCGTACGCTCACACTCCACAGCCGCTGCTCCGGCATCACTCGCCGCTTCCTGGGACCGTCCGTTCCCCTCCATCTTGGTGCGTTTCCCCACTTCTCTACTTACACAAGCCACTTACTAACCAGAGTGATGGTCCTTGTAGGTGTCTGCCGATGGCGTCTCGGCCCAAGGCTCGTTCGCGGAGGCTCAGGCCAACTACCTTCAGCCTGACATGCAGGTGGTGAAGGAACTAGACGCGTTGCTACATGAGAAGAAGATGGGTATCGTTGCGCACTTCTACATGGACCCAGAGCTACAGGGCATCCTATCGTCGCTCTCGTGGCCTCACACGTTCATCGCCGACTCTCTGGCTATGGGCGAGGCAGCAGCTAAGATGGCCAAGAAGGGAATCCAGTCGGTGGCTGTGCTGGGCGTTGACTTCATGTCCGAGAGTGTGCGCGCCAATTTGGACTCGAACGGCTTCGAGCACATCCCAGTGTACCGCTTGGCCGAAAAGAAGATTGGATGCAGTCTAGCCGAGTCGGCCGAGAAGCAGGCTTACCTCGCATACCTGCAGAAGGCCGCCAAGACGCCCAACAGTCTGCACATTGTGTACATCAACACGTCGTTGCGTAGCAAGGCATTTGCTCACGATCTGGTGCCTACGATCACCTGTACGTCCTCGAATGTAGTGCAGACTGTGCTGCAGTCGTTCGCTCAGGTGCCGGACATTAATGTCTGGTACGGACCTGACACGTACATGGGCGAGAACCTGCAGCAGATGTTTGAGCATATTGCGCAGCTTCCGGACGAGAAGATTCGTCAGATCCACCCACAGCACAACCGCAAGACCATCGCGGAGCTGCTCACGCGCTTCGATTACTTCAAGGAGGGTAACTGCGTCGTGCACCACATGTTCGGTGACAAAGTGACTCGGCGCGTGCGCGACGAGTACAGCCACGCCTACCACACGGCACACTTTGAAGTGCCCGGAGAGATGTTCACACTCGCGATGGAGGCGCAGAACAAGGGCCGCGGTGTTGTTGGCTCGACGTCCAACATCCTGAACTTCATCAAGGCGAAGACGGCTGAGGCTGTTAAGAACCAGACGGGAGAGAAGTTGAGCTTCGTGCTGGGCACGGAGGCCGGCATGATCACGGCCATCGTGCGTGGCGTGCAGGAGACGCTGAACGCTCAGGAGGGAGGTGTAAAGCCAGAGGTGGAAATTATCTTCCCTGTGTCGGCGGATGCTGTTGCAACGGAAGGCGAGGAATTGGTGCCTGGCGTCGCAGGTGGTGAGGGATGCTCGACTGCTGGCGGCTGTGCTACGTGCCCGTTCATGAAGATGAACGACATTGACGCTCTGTTCCGTGTGGTGGAAGGTGTGTCTGCTAGCGCTAATGGCTCTGATCCGCTGGCGAATTTCTACCCGCAAAAGTATAGTGAACTCATTCAGGGCAAGACTGTTACAGACGTCGGTGTGAAACCCATTCTGCACATGAAGTCGTTGATGGATGGACAGAAGTTGTCGGACGCGTTGGTGCAGGATATTCAGACACGGACACCGGGTGCCGGTTGCCCCAAGTAAGCGTAGTTCAGCATTCTAAGGTCCCAATGAAATTTGTTTAGCTTACTGTGTGACTGGAACATGATTAAGAGCTCCGGGTATATCAGACCGTCGCTTACACTCCGAGGATGCTGACTCACTGTTGTGAGCTTAGAACTCAAAAACGAAATTTCATGCGAGAGAATCCGTGGTCTCAATCTAAGTAGAAGTAAAAATGTCCATCTAATAGATCCTTGAGTGCTTCTGAACCATAAAATCCGGAGTAAATCAACTTGCTTTCGGTGTGCTCGCTTGAGGCACCGTGGCATCGCGGGGCAGTGCTCCTAGGGATCGTGGAACGGTGAAGGTTCACCTAAACCAGGCCGGATTAGCACTGTTAATATCTTCGGACTATCGGTATCTCAGGGCCGCTGGGTTTGGCTGCTACAGGACAGATGTCGGGGGGCAACTTCCAAACACAACTCCACTACTACAAGCTGAAACCTGGACGTGGCAACATGTATTACATAAGTATACTATAATAGCGCGATCATTACGGGCAACGTATCGCATGGGTTTGCAATTGGAACCGAGCTCGAAATATCCAAAGGCTAGCCTGAAATGGCTTCAATGTACCTTACTGCAAAATGAATTCGCGAACCACCCACCGCGCCCCCATTCTCTGTTTCCAAGTCCCAACCTACTTCATCAGTCCATCTACTGCACTCGTAGTAGTAGGCCACAACTCTTGCGACTGCTTCATGCAATACCTCGCTGCACAGGTTCAATGGCACACTCGAGCGTTTATCTCGGAATACTCGAGCATTCATCTCGAAATGCACAGTGTCAGTTGGACTATGCAAAACTTCAGGTTATATGAGAGAATAGTACATGGTGTGTACAATGTACTACATGTACATGGCATGACTACATGCACGTACACATGTTTTCTGTACCATGTAGCGTAATCCACGGCAGTCCACTTCAGCATTTCCACCTGTTTTTTCGGGCTTCAAGTCTTATCCAACTATCTCTACTAACATGTAATACTTAGTAATTCCTTAATTGAGCGGTTGTATCCAAATTGTGCAAGGTTTTTCCGGATAATTTGCATCCAAGTATGCTGAGGTACACGTATAAAAATGTAAATCTGAGCAACAAACTTTTTTTCTTCTTTCCAGTGAAAGCTAAATATGTCACGAAAACGTTGACGGTCGACGTCTTGACCGCAGCATCCAGCAACTTCTTGGCAAACTTTTCCGATTCAGTGGTCAATGCGTTACCGTACCACAGTTGGAGTTTGACAAAGAATCCTTTTCAGAAATCTTGGAATGATCAGCGATGATGATGATGGAGCGATCCGTCGACCGAGTTTATCAAAAACACTCAAACAGTTTACCCGAACCTTTCTGAAACAATATGACTGTAGCCGTTTGTAAATGATTAGTTCTTTTCTTTCATGAAAGCAGTTACATGACGTTGCATATAGCATAACATTGCAATATACTATTTCTTTTACGCATATTGTATGAAAGGTTTCTGTCGCTTCTACGTTTTGGACTCTTATACGACGATCTCTGATGATTCTCCTTCTACCGTGACTCGTTCCTTGATCTCCTCGCTCTGCTGGATCGATACATTGGGCTTCACGGGGGATACTTCCCATGAGGGTTTGTGGGTCTGTTCGGGGTTAATTTTACGGGCATGCCCGGGAGACTGAAATTGCTCCACGAGATGGAGCTACAGCACAGTCACTTTATTCCATACAATGTCGGCACATTGCAACACTATGTCATTCGTCGGCCCCATCGCAGGATATGTGTACCCCCGCAGACTCTGCGGCAGAGTGTTTGAGGTTCCCGCTCGCTCCTTCTGACCGTAGAGGGTCTATACAGTAACAACAACAATCCAACATGTACAATACATTGTATTTGAAATAATAGCCTACTTCGAAGCAAATGACCGTATAGGCTCTTTCGCGGCAAGCTACACGTTGGTGGCACCAACGTGGTGCTTAGGAAATGGTTGCCATAACGTCTGTGCATTGCATCGTTTGCTGCTTGACCAGCTGCAGCAATACAGCATTGACCTTGCTGAGACTGTGCACCTCAGCCAAAGCCAACAGATGAAGCAGCACAATTCCCCCAACAAGTGTTATCCAGCATGACAACACTTTCAAATGCCTTCCTTGAGGGCCGCATCCTGTGATTGCCGAAGCTCAACAAAAACAACAAATTTCGCTGCAAATGGGCTTCTGTTTGGTAGAGGAGCGTGCATTTTGCTGTTAGCATATCTTGTACGCACCAATCGTCCAGCTGGATCCGAGGCAGACCTGGTCCGGTCTCAACAATAGGGATCTCTATGGACTCTCGTAATCCAGCTGGAAGCATGCTACACAAACAGCAAAAGCAGATTAAACCGCCGTGCTCATCCTTTACACCCGCTGGTCCGTGCAGTCTGTGCCACCAACGCTGCGTTGGGCGCTCTCTGATCGCTGCGGTTGTCCCAAAACGTGAAGCCACGCGCCTTGCAGGGAGATCGCTCACAATTTAATTTGCCTTCGCCGAAGCTCGTCGATCACCACCCGCTTCTTCGATCAAGATGCAGACTCCTAGTGCTCTTCGTCTTGTGGTCCTCGCCGCTATGGCTGCCATGACCGCCCACGCTCAGCAGGCCGGCTCCAACAAGGCTGAGACCCACCCTCCGCTCACGTCGCAGACCTGTACCAAGAGTGGTTGCACTGATGAGGACACGTCCATTGTGCTGGACGCCAACTGGCGCTGGCTGTACAAGGAAGGCACGTCGACGAACTGCTACACCGGAAACAAGTGGGACACTAGCATCTGCTCGGACCCCAAGACGTGCACGTCCAGTTGCGCCCTTGACGGTGCCGACTACACCGGCACGTACGGCATTAACGCCGAGGGCGACAGCGTGAGCCTCAAGCTGGTCACCAAGGGTCCGTACAGCACCAATGTGGGCTCGCGTATCTATATGATGGAATCTGACGAAAAGTACAAGGTCTACAAGCTGCTGAACCAGGAGTTCACGTTCGACGTGGACATATCGAATGTCGATTGCGGTCTGAACAGCGCTCTGTACTTCGTGGACATGGAGGCTGACGGTGGCATGAAGCGTTTCCCTAGCAACAAGGCTGGTGCCAAGTATGGCACGGGCTACTGTGATGCCCAGTGCCCTCAGGACCTCAAGTTTATCAGCGGTGAGGCCAACATCCTTAACTGGACCCCGAGCAAGACTGACCCCAACGCCGGTACGGGCAAGTACGGCTCGTGCTGTGCTGAGATGGACATCTGGGAGTCCAACAGTATCAGTAACGCGTACACTACGCACCCGTGCACGACGAAGATCGGTGGCTCTCACCGCTGCTCCACCGCCAAGGAGTGCGGTGTTGCTAAGAACCGCTACAACGGTGTGTGTGACAAGGATGGTTGCGACTTCAACCCGTTCCGTATGGGCAACAAGACGTTCTTCGGTCCTGGTTCGGACTTCACTATTGACACGACCAAGAAGATGACAGTGGTGACCCGTTTCATCACGGACGATAACACGGCGACGGGCACTTTGGTTGATGTCCAGCGTTTTTACGTCCAGGACGGTGTGACCCACGAGATGCCCCACTCGACCTTCTCGTCCGTCAAGACCATGAAGTCTCTGACGGACACTCAGTGCTCTGCTGCCAAGAAGCTCTTCGGTGACAAGGACGACCACAAGGCTAAGGGTGGCCTTGCTCAGATGGGTGAGGCCATGAAGAGCGGTATGGTGCTGACCATGAGTCTGTGGACGGACCACGCTGCTAATGTCCTGTGGCTTGACTCGGACTACCCCGTGACTGCTGATCCTAAGAAGCCCGGTGTCTCGCGTGGTACTTGTGCCAAGACGTCTGGTGTCCCCAAGGAGGTCATTGCCGAGCAGGCCGAGGCTACCGTTGCCTTCAGCAACATCCGTGTTGGTGACATCGGCACGACGGTGAAGGGTGTGGGCGTCTCAAAAAAGACGACTACCAAGAAGGCTGCCACCACCCCGGCTACGGAGACGGCCAACGAGGCTGAGGTTGGTGCCGACGCAGACACGGAGGAAGTTGGCGCTGACGCCGACACTGAGGCTGCTCCTAGCACGTCAACTAGCTCGTGCAAGCGCCGTCACTAGATGTCAGTTTTATGCGTAAGAGCTAAAGCAGCCTTTTTCACGTAGCAAACCAAGGTTGCCATAAAGTCCTCAATGGAAATGTTGTTTGTAAATGTTTAACCCTCTCGACCTATATATCATCAAGAAAATTAACAATACATTACACTCCGCATCTTCTGAATGGCTAACATTGCCAAAGAGCACGTAGAAGCTACGTGCGAGTGCTCGGTCGCGCAAATCCCAGTCCCAATCAAGAGCAAGACGCGTTGCCTTACCAGCAGCGCCAAAGATCGCCTGCAGAACAGAACTCTACGCTTAGCGTTAGGTCGCGAGCTGCTCCGTTGAGCGTAACGCCATCTCCAGCTATTCCGCATCAAGTGCCTCCTCCGCCACCTTCGACTGCAGAATCTTCACAACAACCTTCGCAAGTATTCCAGTTGACCGTCCAGCCAATCGTAAAATCTACAGTCCCGCAGAGGGATAATTCTGGTGAGAAACTCGACGAGTTTGTTGCCAACGGAAACACCTTTCACATCATCACCAAACTTTGGGAGAAATTCAATGGTTGAATCAAAGCGCAAGCCGTGAAGAGGGACGACGAGTGGACCGTCGTAACTCCTTCTATAGCAGGATGGAGGAAGGCCACAAAGTTCAAAAGAAATCGCCACGTTATTGACAACACGCACCAGCCAGAAAACATCTGGGCTTCATGGCTCGCGTCAGTACACGGCGAGCCGATCACGCTTCTCATTTATGAGTATGGTGTGTCAATCATCAGAGCTCAAGATCTTAACTCGTTCAGGGAGACGTATGTACTTCGTCTGACGGACGGAGCTGATGCAATAGCCGAGGATTCTCTTTTTGAGGTGGTTGCTAAACTGCAAAAGCAATGGGATTCAAGCTTCAAAGCTGATGGTGTAGTGTGGCGTATATGGGCTACCATATACTGCGAAGCCATGACCGATCTACAGTGGATCAAGCCATTTCGGATCCTCCTCCCGGTCATATCACACGTTTGCTGCGAGCACCAGCGTCACCTACGTCGAAGCTTTCACGCTCAGCGCACTTGGCGTTGGATTGCGTGAACTCGTCGTTGGAAGACCACCGCAAACTCCGAGAGCACTATGATGCCTTTGGTCGGCTCTTGGACGATCACATGCACGGCTTATTTCACGCAAACGAATGATCGACGCCTTAATTCGAGACCTGCCTCCACTACGCGACGACTGCGAGCGAGGAGTATAAGTTTGCACATTCACGACTTTTCACAAGTAATTTCTCTGGAGCTTGAGTATCAGTTAAGAAATTTGAAGCTACTACTTTCCATTAAGGAGTCAGGCTTAACCCTGTCAACAGGCTTTGGATGCAGCACAACATGTAACATTTCACTCAGGTCAAAATACACATCTAGTGGCGGCGATTGCACGAGCTGGTGGAGGTGCTGGGAGTCGATGTCGTCGTGGCCGGAGCTGTGGTAGTGGACGTCGTAGAATCGGTATCGTCTTCAGCGGCAGAATCGGCCTCAGCATCGACCTCTGATGCAGATGTAGTTTCATCATCAGCTTCGTTGGCTTCGGAAGACGTTGAAGTCGACGGAGAAGTAATGGTGCTCGTGGTCGAGGCACTGGTAGTCGTTGAAGCATCCGACGAGGTGGTCGCGGTCGACGGGGAAGTCGTCGTTGTGGACGTACTAGTTACCGACGAAGACGTGGCAGTCGCCGACGTGGTGCTGCTTGAACTGGTGCTGATACCGTCGACGGTCGTGCCAATGTCACCGAAGCGGATGTTGCTGAAGACAACCGTGGCATCCGGTTGCTCCGAGATCACATCGTCGGGAACACCCGTGGTCGTAGCACACGTTCCACGAGCAACACCGGGGTCCGACACATCGGCGGTCACGGGGTAGTCCGAGTCCAGCCACAAACAATAAGCAGCGCTATCCGTCCACAGACTCATCGTCAGAACCATGCCACGCTTCATGGCAAGACTAAGTTGCTCGAGTCCTCCCTTAGCCTTGTGATCATCTTCATCACCAAACTCCGTCTTGGCAGCAGAACACTGCGACTCCGTCAATGAATTCATGTCCTCGATGCCCGACCACGTTGCGTACGGCATTTCGTAGCTGACACCATCTTGCACGTAGAACCGAGTGATCTCGCTCAAAGCTCCCGTTTCGGTGCCATCGTCCGTGATGAAACGAGTCACTACCGTGAACGATTTGGTCGTATCGATCGTGAAGTCTGAACCGGGACCGAAGAAAGTCTGGTTACCCATTCTGAAAGGGTTGAAGTCACAGCCATCCTTATCACACACACCGTCATAGCGGTAATCACCGGAGCCACATTCAGTCGCGCTCTCGCAGCGATACGAGCCACCGGCGCTCGAAGTCACGGATCACGGGTGGGAGGTGTACGCGTTACTGATGCTGTTGGACTCCCAGATATCCATCTCAGCACAACAGGAGCCGTACTTACCAGTTCCCGAGTTGCTGTCAGTAGCGCTAGCCGTCCAGTTGAGGATGTTAGCCTCACCACTGATAAATTTCAGGTCCTGGGGACACTGAGCGTCGCAGTAGCCTGTGCCGTACTTTGCTCCAGCGGCGTTACCGGAAAATCGACTCATGCCGCCGTCAGTGTCCATGTCGACGAAGTAGAGAGCTCCGTTTAAGCCGCAGTCGAGGTTTGAGACGTCCACGTCGAAGGTGAATTCCTGGTTCAACAGTTTGTATGCCTTGTATGTGTCGTCGGATTCCATGACGTAGACACGAGAACCGATGTTAGTACTGTAAGAACCTTTCGTGACGAGCTTGAGTGTCAAACTGTCCGTGTCGGCAGTGATCCCGTACGTTCCCGTGTAGTCGGCACCGTCGAGTGCGCAGCTTGGTGCGCAGGTCTCTGGGTCGGAGCAAATGTCCGTGTCCCATTCGTTGCCTGAGTAGCAGTTGGTGGACGTGCCCTCCTTGTACAACCAGCGCCAATTGGCGTCCAACACGATGGATGTATCTTCGTCGGTGCATCCATTGCTTGTACAGCTCTGGGTCGTCAGCGACGGGTGCGTCTCGGCCGTGTTGGAGCCAGCCTGCTGCGCGAGTGTGATCGTAGCAGCTAGCGAAGCAGTCGCTGAGATCGTCAACAAGCGAAGGACACTTGGACTCTGCATTCTTGAAACCGGAGAAGTGGTCAATGCGCTTGGGTGAAGGCAAAATGAATTATGAACGGTGACTCTTGTCGAGTTTGGGATGCTCAAGCTTTTGGAGGAGTCCTCGCGAAGGACTGGTCTCACGAAGAGTAAAGGATGACCACGAGCAAGACCACATCAACAAGTATCTGGCAAATAGTATCTGTCTTATCCTTTTAGGATACTAGATGTATCGTGCAAACCAACTCCCAGCTGGTTTGAGAGATATCGAGCGTCGTGCGAACCATATCTTCCACGAGGAAGTTCATCCTTGTGGATATGCTACCTGCTGCTACATGTCTAGATATATTACATACTGTCGGAGCCTTTCCTAGCAACTATGACAGTCAAATAGGCTGCCTACATGTTCATAACTTCTCGTGTTCGCTACATATTAGTAGAATGAAATGCTGTGTAAGCTGAGCCGGATCACAGTCAACTTCAACTTCAGGTTCGACTGGCCAGACCAACACATCTGGTGGCGACGAAAGATCGTGCCAACTATCTCAATCGCACGTTTGCTGATCATGCCAACTACTATCTCAATCGCACCTGTGCTCACTAAGGGTTATCGGCACGAAAGCAATTGCGATTATATGGCTGTCTTACTTGCTAAGAAGTCCTTGTATGACAATTTTTTTGCTAGCATCGGTGATGAAAACCCTACAGAATCGCCAAACTGGAGCGGAAATTTTAAGATTGTAGATAATGGTATATTCATTTGATTTTCCGAAACTAGGTTGCTTCGCTTTTGGCTGGGAGGCCTGTGGACGTGGTGTATAAGTATTTCATTTAACTAGCTGAGTGTGTGCAAATGGACATTGTTCTGTTCTCAACGAGGCGAGTCATGCTATACCAACACTAACTTTTTTGTTGTAGGCGAACAACGGTGGAAGCTCAAACTAACAAAATTCTTGAGCGGTCACCTAGAGCCCATGAAGGTTGAGATAGCTATCTTGTCGTGGTAAAGTGAAAGCGTGGGATCTACTTCTTCGGCGAGCTTGTCCAACGAAGGAGTAGCAGAAATACAACCTCAAACCGCTACTGATATCAAACAATATCGTTATTCTTTATTTCTCATACTTCGAAATATCTAGTTTATACAAAAAGCCATGATTTTGAGATAGTGGCGCTGCGGTGGTGAGATGAAAACAAATATGACCCTATGCTCACCACTGCTCAGCATAGGATCATATTTCTTTTCATTTGGGGCTGATAACTCCTTTTGAGTTGAGTTGAATGTTTAAGGTAAGCGCTAATTTCACGACGCTCATGCTGTAATGGTACTGCAACTGGCCTTGGGAGCCAAACTGGGAGTATTTAATTTAACATAACTCGCGATTTACGTGTCTCGTTAGACGCACGCGATGTCTGTTGGGAAACGGTTTGTAGGAACGCGGTAAGACTTTAAAACTTTGGAGAAGCTACGTAGTTTGGGTAAGTGTAGTGTGTCGCTGGTTGTGTTTCTGCTGTGTGAGCTGCTTGTGCTACAGGCAACTTTTTTGGAACATTAATTTGTGTGAGGCTGTCCATGCAGATCTTCTAGCTGTCCTCCCAGGATAAGGATGATTAATATAGGGGAATTCTACACAGAACGAATTCCGCTTTTTGAATAACTACAACAAAGTTATTTTGATTCAGGGGCCGCGTTCAACAGAACTCATGTTGCACGCCATATTTTGCGCTTTCGAATCCGGTAGTTACTACAGTAACGCATCGGCAACCATCACAAATATTGTTGTCGTTAGAATTTGATCTTGCGTGGAATGTCATACTTCAAGTATAGTTGTAGTTAATGCTTGATCTTGCGTCGGGAGTCATGCCGGCAATGCCGAGCCTGCGTTTGTTGCCCGCACTGGCGGTCACCCAAATCACTCTCCTGCTGGCGGCACAGAGCGCTGTCGATCGCTGCTAGTTGGACAGGTGTGCCATGATCGCACATGTACTGTAATTGTCGACTGTCTTTCTTTTAGCATCGTACATGTAAAACTGGAGTTGAAAAGCTTCGGAACTACCATCTGGTTCGAATACTGAGTAAAGTGATCTTGCTCAAGTCTACAGTTATCGCAGCGAAGACTCGAGACACGCTGAGTTACTTGCAGGCGGTCGTCAATCTACATGTACCAGCTTGCAGCCTACGACGACACTTGACGTTTCGCGTGAGATTTCCGTCAACCAAATCGACATCGTCAAATGAGGCTTGTGCTCAAGCTGATTGAGTTTGTTCGCTGCAAGGAAGTGGCACGGTGCATGGCTCCACTGTGCCGTCATCTGCTGCGGCTGAACTGGGCGTGACAATCTCTTTTTTCTTGTCAGTTTCGTTGAGCTGGTACCATGACACCATGACAAGCCCTGCTAGTCTACCACAGGGTTTAACCAAAACGCATACGGCACGGCTGAGTCCGTGTACCAGAATGGCAATATTTTTAAAGATAGCAAGCGCTGCGACTGCGCGACAATTAATTGACACCCTCATTGACAAGCTTGCACTACAGACCTGAGACCGAATGACGTGAGCTCCAGGTTGCCCAGGTTGAATGAACTTGACTGTTCACATGGTATGTTTTTGTGCACTACAGTGTACACAGTTGTTCATCTTTTCTAAATTTTATCACTCTGATTGGTCAAAATACAGCCCCCATACTCCCTATCTATTGACCAAGTCGACAATGGACGCGCCGATCGATGAGAACACCAAGCGCACGGTGCAGAAGATTCCGCTGCTGACGACGCGTGCCGGTCCGCGTGATGGCGAGTCCTGGACCAAGCGTCTCAAGGAGGAGTATCTGGCGCTAATTCAGTACGTCAAGATGAACAAGGAGGCGGACAACGACTGGTTCACCATCGAGAGTAACAAGTCTGGAACACGCTGGACAGGCAAATGCTGGTCTTTTTACAACGGACTACGCTACGAATTCGACCTCGAATTTGAGATCCCAGCCACGTACCCGGTGGCCAACCCGGAATTATGCATCCCCGAGCTGGAGAGCAAGACTTCCAAGATGTACCGAGGTGGCAAAATCTGCCTCACTATCCACTTCGCGCCGCTGTGGCAGAAGAATGTGCCGCGCTTCGGCGTCGCCCACGCACTTGCACTCGGAGTACGTTCATTAGGTACCTATATTTGAGCTAAGATACTGATGTTATTGTTATTGCTGCGCTGTAGCTGGCTCCGTGGCTCGCTGCTGAGGTGCCAGACCTTGTCGAGCGTGGTGTCATCACTCCCGTCTAAGCTGTGAGAGGTAGTTGCTACAAGGAAGTGTTGAAGGATCGACGCAGTAGAGTTTATACATCTTCCATTGGATTTGTTACTCTGATGTGTTTGCTGCTGTAGTCGTGCGATGGCACGTAAATAATGCATTTTACGCGGACGGCAGCTATCCGTCGACCCGCTGCAAAGCTCGCTACTTTTACGAGCCGGCGCTGTTTAGATAACTACTCTATCTGTCTCGGCGTTGGTAGTGGCCTCTGGGTTTGCTGAGGATCATCAGGTAAGTGAAGTGACATTTACGGCAGCAACGAGAAGAGGCGGTGAGGAGACAGCAAGGTCGGCGACGGGACGGGGGCGGGGAGCATACACGCAGAGGACGATGTAATTATTGCTGGGATGTTGGGGTGAGAGCGCAGAGAATCACTACTTGGCGTTGAACCGGCAGTGGAGCTCATCTTAGTGTGGGCACAACAGTATCCTGACCGCTGTGCCCACTTGGGGCACCCGAAGTAGTCACACCGTTTGCCACCACCGTGTGAACGACACAGTCGATTCTGGTGCGCGTTCTTGGTGCATCCACTGACGTTGCACTGGCGGCCGCCGCCGTGTGACTTGCACAGTCCGCGGGTCTGAGCAAACTTTGAACAGCCCTCTTTCTTGCAGCGTGATCCACCACCGTGCTCTGGGCATTTTCCCCGACTAAGAGCAGACTTGTTACAGCCAGAGATACTGCACACTTTGCCGCTGTGGCGATTGCAGAAGCCTGCTGAACGACGAAGGTTGGGGCAGTCTGGGTACTTGCAGCGCAATTGTTTCCTGTCGTTGCTTGACGATGTGGTGGTGGTCGAGAGTTTCTTCTTCTTGAGCGGGGGCATTGACAACATGGGCAGCGGGGCAGGAGGCAGGCAAGACGTCAGGAACGACACGGTGGATTTCTCAGGTTTGCTGCTGCGCATGTCGATATCCAGCGACACGTTGTCTTGGAAGAATGGTTGAGGAAGACGTGCGAACTCTTGCACGAATACACGCGGTGGCGACACAATGGAGTTGACAACGGATGCTTGAAGTGGAGACTGGTTTGGCAACGAGAAGCTGGTGCAACTGCGGCTGGACAATGGCTGCAAGCGTGTGAAGTGGGGCGAGTTGTCGAAGCAGATCTGCGGGAACGAGACGTCGACTTGTGGACTGTTGCGCTTTGAGAGACCGGGCGTTGAAGCGGGATTGCTGAAGTTGTCCCCGTACATCTTGGCTGGTGTTGGTGGGAGATGTCGCGGTGACACGAACTCACCGTCGAGTAGGAGCTCGCGAAGAATATCGTTCTCTTCCGAGCCTGCAGTTGACGCACGTCGGTCTGTTTCCACGAAGCCATTTGCGAAGAACATCTTGGGAATCGGCCAGCTACGTGTTGAAGGTTGTCGATAAGATCACTCAACTTCAACAAACGTTTAGGTGGAGTACAGCTAGCTGACGAGGCGTGACTGTGGGAAATGCTTCGCCGTAGGGACGGGAAGTCGAGAAGTGATCTCGAATCCGCAATCGTCGGGTGGCCAAGGTCGGAACGTAGAAATGTCAGTCGGTCACCCGCCAGTCAAGGGCAGCTGCTACCACACGAGCAAAATGTAAAACGACCCGAAACGACCATTGGCCATAGCGTTGAGCATTGATCAGACTGTTCCGAGAAGACCAGGAGTTGCTGACAAGCTCCTGACCATTAGGACTCGAGCGCTGTCGTTGGCGAGCTTGCCGTTGATCACCTATTAATACCGTTGTCTTGCAGCGGATTCGTCCGTTTCGATCCACGTTCAATGAGTGCTACGTTTTGGCCGTTAGCCGTTGGAATTTTTGGCATAACGGATCTGGGGTGCTTTCATTCCAGCATGTTCGATGCAAAGCACATCAACCAGGAAAACGAGTGGGCTGATAAGCCCAAGCACGTCCGAAGCGGTTTTGTGCTGCATTGAAGCGGCCCCATGGATCATCTGAGAGGGGAATCCAAAACCACCACGAACGGATCAGATCAAATCGACGATTCTGAACCGCCCACCCATTCAACACTGAAAAGATACGCTGGAGTGACGAGACTTGGATGCATTGCCTTTCATAGCTTGTCAACTCGTGCCATGGCGTCCTGACGAATCTTTCGCTGCTCGAATCAAACTTAGCTGCTCCAGCTTGATTGGGATCTTGCACACTGGACAAGAGGTGAATCCATCTTTCTCCATCTATGGTAATCACAAATATAATCAGTACACTCCCAACTCATGCGAACTTGGGCCATCGCATTGATCGTCACTTACCTTTTTCCAGCATGGATGGCAGCAGATATGACCGCACTGTGAAGCGTAGGCCTTGCGTGTAATGTCGTAGCACACAAAGCACTGCGGGTCTTTCACGACCGCCGCAGTTGGAACGTGATCGCGCTGAATCTTTCTCTTCTTTTGCTGAAGTCGTTCGAAGAATGTCGACATGTCTGTACGCCGTGCGCGAGCTGAAGAGCCTTGAGGTCTACCACCTACCGACACTTCCAACCCGTAGTCTCGAGCTGCCCCGATAAACCGATCGCACATTGCACCGTTCAACACTTTCGGCATCAAGTCCAGCAGCTCTTTACACGCCGGATCACACAGCAGATTGCAGATTCCACTCAGAGTTGTTTCCACATCTTCCCCGGCACGAAGCTGTCGAATGAAGCTATACAATTTCGGCACGTCTGAAGGCTGAAGCACTTTCCTTGCCACTACAGGAAACTCGACTGCAGACAACTTGTCATTATCGTCTTTTGAAATAACGTGTCCAATCTCCTGTTTAGCCGCAAACTGCTGCTTCGCACTTTGCCACGACCGTGCATCGTCATCATCAACAACAATAGCGCTGTCAGCAGAGCCGCCGCCGTTCACCATCTTCGGTGCCGTAAACGGGCGTGAAATCGATGAAGTCATGTCTACCATCGCTGACTTCGATGTGGACATCAACAGCGACCCTAGTGAGCGTTTTTGAGGCGCAGCTGGCCTTGGAATCGTAGGAATTGGCAGAATACGCTTCTCAGCTTCTGATTTTGAAGAAAAAACACCAGTTATATCAGTCAGTTTCCAACGTTCACGCTAGAAAGAAAGCATATAGGGTACCAGTTGCCTCCGAAGGTTCAGACGGATGACGAAGAAGCTGTGGATTTACATAGGACTGGCCATCTCCAATCGCTGTTTGAGAACTTGAGAGCTGCGACGCACTTGGCTGCTCGCTAATCTGCTCACTTTCGCTGTCAGATGATGCCTTGGAAGTTCTTGATATCGCTCTTTTGGATAAACCAATCGTTTTCGGTTGCTGCAGAATCTTCTTCGCCGATTCTGGTATTGCTCTTGTCTTGTTGGTTTTGAAAAAACGAGTCAAACCAATGTGCGCTTCACCTACAACACATTTTACGCTTTGTTAGCTTCTGATATCTGGTCAGAGAATGGTTCGGTACGAACCATATCCTCGGCAAGTGTGGCAATACGGTTGCAACCACTTTGACAGGCACTCCTGTTGCTGCTTCAACGCAAACCTCTCGTCTAGCAAGATGATTGCTCCGTAATCATGGCGGTGGCGAATGACACGACCAATAGCTTGATTCACTGCTCGCGACGCTTGTTGGATGTACCACGCGTTTCCTGTCAGTTTCTGATGAAAAAGTCAGTGGCAGGAGTATTATGATAGCAGCAAATCCTCCAACCTCATGTTATCTTACCAGTTCACCCGGAGGCACTACGGCTTCGTCCAAAATGCTCTTTTTCAGAATAATCTTCGGGTCTTTCGTCGGAGGAAAAGGCAAACCCGTGATAACCACCGCACGACCTTTATCATTTGAAAAGTCGATACCTTCGCTCACCTAGGCTCGCCACAAGAGTTGTTAGATCAAAAGATCAGAATTCCCGCTTCATTTGGCATTGGTACCTTTCCACGACACACTGCAAAAAATACAGCACCCTTGGGATTGTCTGCGATAGCTTGGTGATATTCGTCAACCACCGCCTTAAAATCCGCTCGCCCTCGGGGCTCCACAAACGTTTGCTTCTGCTGGGCAATACGGTCCCAAATGGATAAAGCCGACTCGCCCGCTGCAGGCCGTTGCCACTTGTTGACACTCTCCTCCAAAATGGAGTAAGAAGGAAAAAAGACCAGCAGGCCGTGCGGGACGAGGCGAGTGAAGTTCACGATCGTGTTGCCCAGCTCCAGCAGGTACGTTTCGGTGGACCGGAAGTTGTAGCTCGAATTGAGTTTCTTCCCGGTGACACCTGTGCCCACCACACCGACCCAGACTTGGTCGGCATCGACTACGTGGTTGTTCTCTAACCGCACCGGAAAGTCAATACCAAGTTCTTTGACAGTCGTATCAAGCGGCGAAAGTGTTCCACTGTAGCAGAATACACATCACTCTGTCAGTGCCATCGTCAAGTAAAAACTTGGCCATAATTGCAATACTAACCTGGTCAAGATGACGTTGTGGACATTGTTAGTGCAAATTTCACGAAAAGCTACCCCAGGGTGGAAGCACCAGTAGTTAAACACGCGGGTAGTGGTCTTATTTTTTCGTCCTGAGTTGAACAGGCGTCCAGCATTTGAAGGCCTACACAAACATTCGTGGTTAGCGGGCGAGTCATTCTACTTCACAACAACTTTCGCGACATACCTTTCTCGAATTTCTTGAATGTGAACTCTATAATTTTTAGCTGCCTATAGCAATACAAGAGTTATAAACCGCAAAAGTACGTTTTGAGGTGAAATACAAGCAGGGGAAATTACCTGTAGGTGCTGCTCTTTACTCCGAAAGATGGTGCCCAAGAACGAAAGTATTGTATCGAGCTTTGATGCAGCTCGCTGCGAATCGTCTCCACCGTGTGCCACTTCAATAATTTCTTCAATCATGTTGAGAACGAGCGGGCACGTCTCGAAGTTCACGTTGAATTGCTCGAAGAACTCAAAAATGTACTGCCCAGGCTAACAAGGTAACATAACAAACCGTGAGCAAATCCGGATACCAGGACACATCGATTTCGCGCCCTACTTACCTTTGTCAACCCTCCATTCGCCGACAGCGGAAAGCTGTTAAGTCCTTTGTCGATTTCCATGAACAGTGCTCGCAGTGTTTGGGTGGACTAGGGAAGCACAATGTTAGCCACGTTATGCTGGATAAACTACTCACACAGTTTTCGTACCTCCATGGTCAAATTACTTCCCGCGTTCAGTTGTATGCTGTTGTTCGACAATCCTCTGATGAACGTGTCAACTTCTGAGATGCAGCCAGAAATGTCATTTGAAGAAAGCGCGTACGATGCAGCTTCACTGGCGATCGATTCCTACAAATTATCATTCAGCAACTCAGCCACAAATATACCAAAACACAACACCTGTCACCATATTCCTACCACATTGTGCGCCTCATCGAAAATTAAGATTGAGTTTTCAATAGAAATGCCGATCGAGCGACGCGCCAAAGGGTCGATTAGATAATTGTACGGCACAAATATAATCTCCGCTTCAGGCAGCATATTCCTAGTCAGGAAGAAAGGACATATCTATACGCTCAGAGAATTCGCAGCACGCAAAACAAGTCAACTACGAAACAACAAACTCTTAATAACGACAAACACCCACCATCTTCTCCTTCATCGTCGTCACCAGCTCTTCAATGTCCATAATCGGCTGCGCCTGCTTCTTCGACCGCTTCGCATACGAATCAAAGCCCAACTTGTACATGCACCTGCAACAGATACATCACATTAGCTTTTCAAAGTACAATTAAGTCTTCAAGTAATCGACCCACCTCCTGTCTTTGCATGTAGATCGACACGCGAGATTCTGTCTCGTTCCTCGGAGCTTGGATACCTTTTCGTTCACACAGAGATGCTCTCGAGAGCCGAGAACCGCAACGTTGGGGCGGTATGATGTGTTCTTGAGCTCCTGCACCACCTGTTTCAGCTGCGAGTGCGTTCTGGACGAGTAAATGATCCTCGGTAGTTGCGGTGCGTCGCGATCTCCGTCGCTGCCGTAGCCCTCGTAGGCCAGCGATGCGCCCGGACGCTTTGTCGGTGCTAGTGAGCTTGTTCCTAACTTCTTCTGCAGCTCGCGACGCCACGCTAGGGTAGCACACAACAGACACAGCGTCTGTGCAGTAAGACATTGCAATGAAAATAATTGTTAATGGTGATAACTTAATCTTTGGTAAGCATGATGGTGGTGGACCTTGCCGGTGCCCGTCGGACTCTCGAGGATGGCATTCTGCTTGGAGGTGAGTGACAACAACACCTTTTCCATGTAGATGAGCTGCGAGTCATAGGGTGGGAACGGGAACTCCACGGGAATGCCGCAGATCTCGAGCTTCACCATGGCGGCAACCAACAGTGTTGATCCAACACTCTTCGAATTCCGCGCGCAAAATGTTGCAGTTAAGTGCATCACATCACTTTAAATCAAACCACAATATAGACTAATTGTTAAAAATTGCATTCATTTGGACTAAATCTGATCACTTCACTTCAAGCAGCTCAAATGCCGTCCTCGAAGCTTGTGGTGGCGTTGTACCGCTCGCTCCTGCGCAGCGCTACGGTGCTGGATAGCCACGAGGCCTTCAAGGCGCTGCTGCCACGCGAGGTGGAGTGGCGGAAAGGCGCCAAGTGGTGCGATTTTTTCGGCTCCAGCTCCTCCTGTGTCAAGGCTCTGCGCACCGAATTCCGTGAGCCTCGACCCACGGGTGAGCTGAGCGAGGCGCTAGACGAGGCGCTACAGCTCCATAAGACGATCTCACAGCGTGTGCACTTATTATACCGTGACGAGGACGACCGACAGCTGATAAAGTTCACCGATGTGCCGCATCCCACGACGTTCGATGAGAAATACGAGTGGGAAAAGCGGCAGCTGTCGGAGGAGGACTCCAAGGCGCTCAATGGAGCACTGGAACTCATCCATAGTGCGTCCCAATTGCTCACGAGTGAGGATCTTGACATGAAGGACAAGACAAGGCTCGCTAAAGCCTACTACGTCGAGTCGATCAAGTTGTTCGAGACGGCAGATGCCCACGCGTATCTGGGCTGGCATTTGTACCTCGACGGCGAGGTAGAGGAAGCAGTGAGTGAATGTCAGCGTGCTATTCAAGTGGATCCTTCCTTTGGCAACCCGTACAATGACTTGGGGCTGATTCGAGTGGAGGAAGGCAAGAACGATGAGGCGCTGGATTTGTTTCAGAAAGCCAAGATGGCACCCCGCAATGATGTTAGGCATTACGCGTGCCAGAATCTTGCTGCGTTGCACCTGGAGGAGAATCGTGTGAAGTCAGCACTGCATGAATACATTGAAACATTGTATTGGATGAGGCTGGATGAGGCCAAGAGGAACATGATACGGAACACAGTCACCGATATGGGGAATGTCTTGGTCGCATTGCAGGCGAGTAAGCCTACACCAGAGTGAGGTCAAAGATTTGCAGAGCGAAACAACGTGAAGCCAGGGTGGCGACTTCAAGGTGGACAAGTTTGGAGATGTTACTACATCAAACGATTTTCATCGAAACTGCTATACAGCGCTCTTCGAAGTAGTTCTTACTGTTCTTGCTGCTGTCGCTGAAGCTTCCTTCGCCACTGCCGAGCTGTGCGAACGGTGGCTGATTGCAGCATATCGACCATCGTCCAAAATGAAGCACGATCTCCTTCTTCGAAAACGATCAAGACCTCGAAACCTTCACTGTTGTCCAGTGCGAAGATTTCCACTCGGCCAGCACATTGCACTTCGGTTGTGATACTATCACATACTTTCCCGCTTTTCTTGTACTGCACCAGTCGACACATCAACCAGTCCTGCCCTCCTTCTCTTCCGTCTTCAACTTCTTTCTGATCCTCCTGTTGCTCTGTGATATCCATCGACAGCTGAAGGTCCTCTTTGATCTCGACAAACTCGCAAATTCTCTGAAGAACCTCTTGTATTGAAGCACAACCATTCGCTACAGAGATTGTGTCAGATACCCACATCATGCAATAAAAAGCACCGACAAGACATTGAACAAACCTTCTTGGGTTTTCACTGGCACCTGGAAACTAAGTTCCTGTCTTCGGTGGGCTTCTTTGCGCTTACCCAGTACTTTTGGCTGCACATCAAAGCAATCATTTAAACGCATTAGCAAAGCATTCCACTTAGGCGGCACAACGTACAGTAGGGTCATCCATCACATCTGTCGAGAATGTCCATGCGATTCCCCATCGCTTGGTTCGTCCCTGGAAAAACTCCGTCGTGCGAGTACTTTTCACCTGTTTCCCACGAAGCAGAGCAAGAAGCTTGCGCAGACTCGACTTCTTACCAACCATCGAGGTAAACCAGAGTATGCGATTCTGCAACATCTCGCTCTCCGAGATCATATTCCCAATAAAGGCAACCTCTCCTCCAGGGAACATCATCTCGTTAGTGCTGCCCATACAGCTCGACTCCGGATTTGTGTCTGCCTCCTTCATGTTGTCGAAGAAGGGAGGGTTGCACATAACAAAGTCGAATTTGCGTTCCGGCGGCTCGTCCTCCAACGGTTCAAGCAGCAACTTGTCCGTGTGTGTTTGCTTAATAGAGATCAGAGTCTCCAGCTGATTGCTTGTTATATTTTCTTTCGCGCATTCGTAGGAAACGGGGTCGATTTCCGTTGCGATAAACTTCCATTTGCTCATCGTCGCGCCGAGCAACGCATAGATGCAGTTTGCTCCTGTCCCCACGTCAATACCAGATACAGCCACTTCGGTAGATTTCTGATGAGTTTGACGTTTCCCATTCCAATTAGCTTGAGCGAGCAAATCTTCGATCCAATGGAGATAATTCAAGCGGTTCGGCAGCTATCGAAAGCAATGTGAGTTGAAACCTTTAGTAATGTGTGAAAAAAAAATGTGACAGAGCTACATACCGGTGGACAGAGACGATTAATTGGGATATCCCAACGCAGTCCAAAGTCATGCAGCAGCAACGTTTTGGTCAGCTCCCTACTCAGCATTGACGATTCAGTCTGTATACTACGGTAAACTCAGCAAAAGCCTGTATGTGTACCTAACGGCGAAAGGATCGTCCCACGCGAGAGACGCTCGGCACCTGGCATCGTCTACATTGCGCAGACTAAAGACAATTTTCCTTGTGAGTACTGGCGACTCGGGAGCCACCTGACGAATCTTACTATTGTTTGAACTCTGGGTACTGCTCGCCCAGCGCGTAGAAATCTGGTGGATTGTCTTTGTATCGATTCCGATCGTGAGCTAAGGCGCCGAGGTGCGGAGTCGGTCGCCGGTGCTCGCCTCTCATGACCAATCCGTGAGCAAGTCTATTGTAATACTGCACCACACAAATCATACGCAAATAATGAGGTAAAAATGTTTCTTGAACCTGTACGAGCAAATGTGTACTTACAGAGCGTACAGTTTTAACTGCACGAATTCGAGAAGCGTGCTTCACGCATACCTTGAGCTAACCGTAAGCTCGCGTTAGCTGCTAACGTGTTTTGCTACAACTATGTCAAATTATGCACCAAAGCGGCGAGCATCTGCCCTCTGCTGCCTTGCGTGGCTGCTACGGACTGAAGCTCGAGGGGCCCCAGGACGTTTGGTACTGCCCCTCCTTTCACCATCACGTCTGCGTGCAAACAGTGGCGTGGGCGATGATGCCGGTAGAGCCGAAGCTGACGACGACGTAGATTCGTTCAGAGCTTGCAGTACATACTTGATTGCTACGCTTGTGGCCTCCAAATTTTCGCGCATGGACGCCATGGCAGCTTCGCGAAGAATGGCACTCACGTCTCCAGCAGATAAACCACTGGTGTGCTTAGCCACGTATCTGGCAAGAACCTCGCGAGAGCTGAGCACTGGATCAGTAGTGTAGTCAACAGGAACCTTCTCCAGCGCTCGAGCGATTATTGCACATCTCGCATCCTCGTCCGGGAATTCTACTTGAATATGTACATCAAAACGTCTGATACCACACCGTTCTGTTAAACATAACAGCAAGAAACGAATAAAAAGCACCAAATCCCTACCCGGGTCGAAGAATGGCTGGATCTAGAAGCTCCTTGTTCGTCGTAGAGGCCAGAATCACCACGTGCTGCTTTAGGAAAGCCATGCGCGCTTCATCGCTTGCCAGACTTTGCTGCAGCTTGGTCCGGCTGGTGTTGAAGCCATCCATCTCAACAAGAAGCATACTTAGCATTCGGTCAAAAGTCTGCTCCGTACTCGTGTCAAAGCCTCGCAGTGGTGCAATGCTCTCAATCTGATCGAAGTATAACACACACGGAGCCGCATTTCTCGCAGTGGTAAAGAGTTCGCGAAGTGCTTTCTCGGTATCGCCGACGATCTTCGTCAACAAGTCACTACACTGGACCGATACGAATGACGCGAGTCCACGACGACGAACTTCTTCAGCGACTGCATTGGTGAGATGCGTTTTACCAGATCCGGGTGGGCCAGTCAGCAATACACCTTTGGGTGGAGTGGTGCCGAACCTCAAGAATCGACTACAGTCTTCAAGAGGCTCTATCAGTGAGACGTGGAGAGTTTGGATAGCGTCATCCATACCAAAGACACCAGAGAAAGCACTATTCGATGCAGTATCTCCATGTTTTTGAATTGATGTGGACGTCGGTTGTTGCTGTTTTTGTGAGACGTGGTGTGTCTGGAGGACGGATGGGTAGGTCACAGCAAGCGCCTGCTCAAAGTGGCGTGGACAGACCATTGAACTGTCTTCCGTCTTCGTTGATGCTGCCTCGTTCAGACAAACTTGAAGTGCCTTCTGGCAAAGACTCAAGAGGTCTGCCCCCACAAATCCACCGGTGCTTTCGCTTAATTGGTTCAGGAATTCACTGCCAAGCTCGTCGACTTGCCACGTTTTCGTCATGATACGCAGAATTTCAAGCCTTTCCGTTTGCGTAGGAGGCTCAATGCTAACAACTTGGTCGAGTCTTCCGTTCGAGAGGACTGCAGCATCCACATCCCCTAGGCGACTTGTGGTACTCAGCACGAATACCTGATGTGACGACGCTTTAAGTTTCTCTAGAGATGACAGCAACGAACCCAATACACCAATCTCAAGCGCACTGTTCGAATCAGCAAGAGTGCGCCGATTGCCAGCAATCGCTTCTATTCCATCGATCAGCAAAATACTAGGCGCTTGTAGCACCGCAGTTTCGAAGATCGTGACCAGCTGCTTCTCGGAGTGACCGACATACGTCTGGAAAATGTCTGCAGCATTCAGGAAAATCGTCCTTACACCAAGAGATTTACAGATTGCCCTCGCCAGCGCTGTCTTGCCAATACCAGGGAGCCCGCTAACCAGTGCCCCGACACTCGGTCTCACCGTCACATTCGCATATTGCGCTGCTCCAAGTCGCTGCAAAATCGATTGCAACAACCTCCTCGCGTACTTCTCCACACCTCCGAGCTCACTCGAAATCTGCACTACATACCACTCTGCCGACTTAAAAGTCGCAGTGTCGAGGCTGTCATCTCCTATGAAATTGAGCTCAACATTTGACGCACTCGAAATTGTTCCAAGCTGCTTGCAACATCCAGAACCCGTCGTTTCCCACTCCACATTTACAAACTCAACTCCATCTCTGCGGTTCAGCCAGCTCACCGATGAGCGTCTTCCACTCCACACAATCGCACCGTCCAACACTCTACTGGCAATTCGTTGCAATCCTCTAAGCACCGCACTAGGAGGTCTCTTCCGATCCAGAAAAACTACACGAAGACTTGCAACCACGCCGCATTTGCACTTGCATTGGGTTGCTCCTGTCTCCATGTCATCGTCCGCAGAATCCACTTGCAGCGTCTCTCGATCGGCGGACAGCTCGAGAGCTTCCAACAGACCAAATGACGCCACTGATTCACCCTCATAACGTCGCAACTGAGAGAATGTAGCTCGCGATCCACTGGAAACTCGCACGAATTTATGAGTGCTCCGCACCGCAGACGTGTAGAGGATGCAGCGCTCATCTTTCGCCGTTATGGGAGCCGCTCCCATAGCTCCCGAAGCACCATTGACACACACCGAAGCCATCTCGCAAATGATTGCAACGAGCATTGAAGCAACATTCTTGTTGATCTAAACATTTGTAGGTCTTTACAAAAACCTAGTCATTAGTGTGTCGCTCCAATTCGTGCAACATCCATTTGCACAAAGTGTATCATAAGCTCCGAGGAGCTCATACCGAACTTCCTCGATGGACGTGTGGTTCGTGACGACGCAGTACCCAAAGTATGGCGACCATCCTCCGTACGAGACCGTGAGCCACCCGGCTGTGTCCAGTCACAGCCGTCCGTTCTCCATGCACGTGCCCAGTATCTACCTGGTCTGGGATTCCAAGCTTGGAGTCATCGCATTGCGTCGTCGAGAGCGGCAGTTGGCCGTCAGTCGCTGCGGTTTAGTTCTCGCAGGCGTGTACTTTAGGATCGACCAGGCCGCCACTCTGCAGATCCCTGTGGCGCTCAAGATCATGGATCGAGCTCAAGTTTTGTTACAGCGAGACGACGTGGAGAGCGAGATCCGCGTCATGGGGCAACTGCAGATGGGCGGACTCGACGCTCCTTTGGCCAACGAGCACATGATCCGCTGGGAATACGCCAGCGATGTCTACAACCAATATGTAGCCACGGAATATGTAGCCAATGGCAGTTTACAGGCCTATGCCCATCGACGGGTACATCAATTGATGTTCAGACACCTGCAAGAATTCGCACAGGAGCACGGAACAGCGCCGACCAAGCTGGAGTGCATTTCCTATGTGTATCGAGGCTCTGGGCACGAGTGGATGCGTGAGGGAATTGGAATCTTCAAGGGAATTGTACGGGCGTTGACGTATTTACACGCACAGAATGTGGCGCACTTGGATCTAGATGTTTACAATGTGGCGGTGGACGTACGGACGAGTTCGAGGATCATCGATCTCGGTAGCAGTCAGATCATGGACAATAGAGGTCTCGTGGGCGAAGGGTATGTTAGTATCAAGTGTAAACCATTGTTTGTGGCTCCAGAAGTGAGGTCACACCAGAGGATGGCGCCGCCCAGACCAGGGTTTAATGGTGCAGCGGCGGATATGTGGGCGACAGGGGTGATTGTAAGTTGTTTTTGATGTTTTATTGTGGAGTTTTGAGTTTAAACTGACTATTTTGTGGTTGTAGCTGGTGCAGTGCGTTGTTTGGGGCTTCCGTGGTGGGCCAACGTATTTGCTGTCCAATACGAACTGGCGGAGAGAAGTGTTTAGCCATATCGATGCGGCTTGCAGCCCCAAGACGTGTCATTTGTGTGTGAATTTCATCTCCATTCCACCATTAATTGGCGCTATTATCAAGCAGCTGCTGCATGTGGACCCGAAGCAGCGACCTTCGGCGTATGAAGTGGCAATGGCTTTGCAGGAAAACCGCCAAGTGCAATTGTTCCCTGTACACCCGAGAATACAAGGATAAACGACTGGCTACAGTACAAGAGGCCCGTAATTCTGCAGTATCATACAGCCACATGCCCGATTGGAAAAGCAAAATCGCTTGCAGAGAATCATACCAGGACTTTGCGATGGTACCGTGTGCAAAGCGGCAAGAAATTATTCTAGTTACTGTTGGATACTAGCGGTGTTGTAAAGGCGGAAAGCAGTTGTGCCGACGAAGCGGTAGACGACGAAGACGACGTGTACTGGCGCAAGACGTGCTGCTCTTGCAAGACGGACATCGTGAACGTGAAGTCCTCCTGGCAGGATTGATAAAGCCGACAGTCAGTGTTAATATTGCTAGCCAGACTAGATCTACACTACACTAAAGAGTAAGTAGCTTCGTACTGAGAACAACGTAAACTCTCCGTGCTCGTTTTCTTCGCCGCAGGAATTGAAGATCTTCATAAGCGCTCGGTTATTAAGTTCAGGAAGTTTGGATAGCACCATGGTCGAGAACGCTGCCACATGTATCACGTTCGTAAGATAAGTGCGTACAAGACACGCATAACACCAGAACCTCAGATCTGCGTACCATCAAAATGCACAATTCCAGCGGCTGGGACGATCTCTTTGAAAAGCACCGCCCACTCGTCTCGTACTCTTCAGCATCATTAAGTTAGACAGAAAAGAGAGTGAAAGTATCGTTAAAACGCACCTTAGTTGGTACTGCATCCAGACTTTCATGATCGAATCCAGCACGTCGTCAAGCGGAAGCATCGACAACATCGTGACTGAGGACCGTGTCACTGAGCCCATAATATTCTGACGTGAAGGTATTAATATAGTCTGGAAAGCAAGCATTCGATCACACTGTTCTTTGTTATCAAACAGTCGACTGACGAGAGGATCATCAACCAGTGTCTTCAGTGTAGACTGGGACACAGTGCACGAATTAAAGGATGCAGCTTCCAAGTGCAACGAAACGTGTCCTCCTGGAATGAGATGCTGCAGAACTAGAAGGAAGAAATCCAACGCGGTTTGAGGCAGCGGTCGATCGCCTGGTATGGCGTTCAAAAATCTCCGGAACCACTTGATGCGCATCGCTTCTGGTACGTTCCCGATCTGCTTGGCAGTAACCAATAAATTGACGAGTTTCTTCTTCGCCAGCGGCTTGAACCCCAGCTCAAGAGTGTATAGCTCCATCACAAAATCTGCTAAAGATTGTCGCTTGCGCTTAATCGCATCATCGTGTTCGTCGGCTGCTATCTTGGCTACATACAGCCGAGCAATTTCGTTCAGGATTTCAACAGTCGATGATGATTCTTCGTTGAGAAGCTCTTCTTCGGACTTTGCTTCTGTGATTTGTGTACAAGTCGCAGTGATGGTAACCGCTGTCGCCGCTTTGAGTGACTCCAGAAGCTCCTCACAATCTCTACGTAATTTCTCGCGAGATCGGAGCTTACGTCGCCCTTGATTAAGAGTTTTGCTAGTTTGTACACAGGCATCGACCTTTTTTATCGTTTTTAACTTGAAGACAGTAGGGTCGAAGTCTGGATCATTGAAATCTGGCAAAACACTGCGATGATACACGAGGAAAGTCGTGAAAAGCGCTGGATTTGTCTCGAGAGGTTCCTGCACAAGCGGGATCAAAACCGTTAGTGAAGTGTTCTTAATCTGATCCAGGAGATAACGTACAAGCAGCAGATCCGGGTGTTCAGCGAATAATCGGGATACCAGCGCAGGTTTGCGATGAGCAAGGTCGACGAAGAATTCAGGATGCTTCTCCAGTGTGTCTCCGAGGCACTGCGGTACAGTTGCAAACACGGCAGCCAGAGTATTGGAGTCCTCCCGGACAACTTGAGGCAAAGCTTGCGGATTGGATTTGATCACCGAGCTGACGATCTCTGGTGATGCAGCGAGGACTTTTGTCAACGTCGAGTGGCATGCTTGAAGTAAATCTACAAGAACCAGGTTGTTAGAACGGGAGCTGACCACGAACGTAAAAGAAAAGTATTACGAACCTGAAAGAATGTATGGTTTGGCCTTCACAACGGCTGCAATAGCGGACGAGCGATTCATCAAAAGGTCGGCGAGTCCGCGAGGATGGTTGACCAAAAAATCCTCGAGGACCATCTTCATATCATTTAATAAGGTTAAGTTAGTGATGCTAAGAGTGTGTGCAAGCAGAACGTACGGTGCTATCCTTGAAAATGTGGCTCAGTAGTGGTAGGAGGACATCACCGCGCTGGGTGAGAACTTGCGAAATGCGATACACATTCTGCTCTAGAACGCGCACTACCAGATTTTCAGAACCCTACAATGCATGCGCAGACAATGGTTCAGGTAATTCCTCGCAGTTTCCAGCACTATACGCTACTCACCTGGAATATATGGGCTGTCAGATACGGTGATTGCCATAAGATGGCAGCGAATTCTTGAGGATGGCGATCGACAAGTCTCTGGAACAGAGCGGGATTCTTGTTCTCGGCTGCAGCTGGTGCACCGTCAAGTAAACTGTCAATGTTATCATGAGCAAATTTCTGTAGCTCGGCCGAGCGTGACAGTGAAATCTCAATCAACAAACGTATAGTGTCTGCTGGACTGATCTTTTGCATCAGTAGAGAAATGAACTCGCTCACATTCTCCGATTTTTCTGTGCCAAGGTAGTGTTTGAGCACCTCTTCGCATGCCAATCTTGCCAACATCATCAAGTTAGCACGAAGCAATACGCCAAAGAGTTCTTTCTTGTCTTCATCGTTTTCCAGCTGATTGAAAAGAGCCGCAATACGCTGTCGCAATGGGATGTCGTTGTGCTTGTCTTGCCGATAGTTCAGGGATATGCGGCCTGTGCTTGGCTGTTGACGTGTTTGTTCGGAATTTGCCATCGTTTGCAAAGCTCTAAAAGCTTCAAAGTAGAGGAGCCGTCTTTCATGAGGAAGTTCGTACTCATCCTGAGCCGGATCCAGTGCGGACAATGCAGAATCAGCGGGATTTTTCAAATAAAGACCGGACTCGATCACAGCAATGATAACGTCTAGCACGCGTCGATATTCGGGCAGTCGATCGGGTAGTTTCTTCAAACAATCCATAGCGATTACCACCGATATTTCGTCTGAATCAGAATTCGCTACGAGCTTGCGACGCAGTAGATCTAAGGTGAATAATCACAGTTGTCTTCTGTTAGGAAAAGACAGAATTATGGCCTCTCATGTGATAACGAGACGTACATGACTGCTCAATATGATCATTGATGGATTTCCAGAGCCGAGAGATCTCGTCGGAAGTTGCGTGATCTCCAACCGCCCAGTCATTAACCACGTCGTGTAGGAGCTGATCCTGTGGTGACGGAGAACTGTAAATACACCAGAGAAATGATTAGTTTCCAGCGATAGCATCGCTCATTCAGTGGTACGCACGCGTCCTCTAGCGCGAAAAAGTGTCGTAGGAGAAAATTTGTCTTTCGTTTGGCTTCTTCGTGCCTGTTGCCATCCACGCTAAAAGCCCCGCCGCCTGAGATGATACGTTGCATTTTATATCGGTTCAACGCCAATTGGTTGTTGCCCCGGATTCGATGCAGCTCCTCCACGTCCAAGTGATGTGTATGGGCCAAAAGGCATGCCTTGATCTCAATATGTTCTCGTGCACGGGGGTTAATCGGGAAGAGGAACTGCGGCTCAGCATCCTTTACTGGTGACGACGCAGCATCGTCACGTATGACGGGGGAAGTTGCTGGGCGCGGGCTAGAGGCACTGCCATCTGGAACCAGTCGAGTAACGTTTGTTCTCGCACTCTTGCATTGCACCGGAGACGTTACGGTCGTTATTGTTGGTCGAGAGACTGCTAGCGTAGTTTTCATTGGGTTGGCGGGTGTTTTCTGTCGTGGAGATAGCAGCGAGTCGGCTGGCTTTCCTCCAGCGAGCGGGCGGACTGGTTGCGTAGCAATTATCCGACGCTGACGAGGAGAGTGACTACTCAGTAGAGGATCATTGCCTTTAACGATGCGGTAGTTTTCCTTCGGAAGCTGTAAATGGGGTACATTGTGGCTCTGATCACCGTCTGGAATGCGTGCTGGGGTCATCATACCACTCGACGAGTGGGGTAGAACTGCTTTGACCGATAAATGTAACGCTAGTTGCCTTGATCCAGACCTACATTGCCAAAGATCAATCCATATATAGCTGTCCACACAAGAAAATGGAGTCGTGAATGATCCGTTTAATTCGCAAATCTAGCACCAATAGCGCCGCCAGGATGGCTTTCTCTCAAGACGTCTGCTCCATCAGCCATGTTCTCGATCAAATGCTGGATAATCGCGTTGCAGATAGCCTCCTAGTTGTCCAAGAACAGAAGAAAGCGTCAGCTACCAAAGAACAACAATTGCCACCCAAAAAAAAATTATATCAAGCAAAGCACCTGAACAATAATACTTCTGGATGGAACAGGGCAGTCGACTTCATCTTCCGCTGGCGCAACAATGGACTACCGAAAGTACAAGAAAACATTAAAGTGTTAAATGCAACAGCACCAAATCGGCCTTAATATCTGACGTACCCAATCACAGTTTTTGCTCAGCGGAGAGCAGCTATCTCCGACGATGGCCATTACGCTGCATCCAGATTTCCTAAACAGGTCGGGCAGCGGAAGCAGCTCCGACGTTCGACCGCTATGTGACACGATGATCACCTAAAGATATCATTTCAAATGTTGGCATGGCTCCATTATCAAGCCAGAAAGAGAGCTTGTACGCACCACATCTCCTTGTTTCAAGCCGCCAAGTTCTCCATGCACCCACTCTCCTCCATGGATCCACTGCATCACATCCAGAAGTTAACAACAAAGCACTACCAAGTAGCAACGAAAGATAGAAACCTCACTTGACTGCTGATGGATATGGAGGACAGCGTGGACGCCAGACGCTGCGCCACGGCCCCCGACTTGCCCATTCCAGTAACGAACACTCGTCTCTGCTGTTGGTGACACTCCAATACGCGCCTGACAGATCGCTCCAAGTTGTTGGCGACGTCCGAGTCGCTCGCCAGAGACTGGAGTAGGTTCTATACGACAACATGGTGAGCATCCACAGACTTCCAGCAGCTCTCGTTGCAGTGTCTTTCACCTGTAGAGCCCAGATGTCGCTGGTTATGGAGCGCAAATACGCGGCTTTGACTTTGACATTCGCGTCGGGAGTCGAAGACGACAGTGGACACCCATGAACTGCGCTAGGAAGAGCTACCTTGGCTAGAGACACTGCCAAACAGGGCGCGCAGCGTGTAGCGAGGTGCTTCTGCGCTCGGAGCGCCGCAGTGCGGAGCATGATTGTCGTGGCTGAATGGGTTTTCGTCGTTTGATTGGTTGAAAATTGAAACGGCAATAATGGTGGTCAATTTGAGCGAGCTGCTGCAGCAGGAGCGCGCGATTCTCGAGGATCGACGCCAGCAGCATCTCCATGAACGTCGCGCTCGCCGCGATAAGCTGAGGACTAGTCGGTCGAGTGGCCGAGCGCTACTGACAGCGACGTCTCTGTCAGACATTGAGGGAGTCACGGATCGACCAGGTACACCACTACCTGGCACGAGTAGTGATATTCGAGTCTAACTTAGCGACGGTTGCTGTGCATAGGATTCCTACGCGAGCAACTGAAGCTGGTGAATCTGACATCGCTTCAACGATGGCATCTACAGCTAAAATTACTGGCGGTAGAGGAAACGAAGACGCAGCGTTCAGTATCCATAGAGGATAGAAATGATGTAGAGTCTGCGAAGCAGTCGTTGGAGAAGGTGTTCTCACGTGACCAGCGCTGTTACGACGTCGTGTATCGAGAAGGAGCGCGGGTGACGGACGCTCGGGACAGTCTACTGGACGATAACGCGTCTATCAACGTCAAGGAAGTGCTAAGCTTTTCTACTCGTCACGAGAACTTTATGTGTCGCGTCACATGTGTGCACGACGGCAAGCGGGTGCTCTTCAACTCGACACTATACATTGAAGGCCTGCAGACAGAGCTAGAACGGCTACTGATTGAACAGAGCAGCATAGACGCCGCCATTACTATCATCCGGAACACACAGCATTAAAGTTAACAAAATACAGATGCAAGACAGTGATCGCGTTAATGAGATGACAGTCGTGTATTTTCCCATTATTGCTTCGCACCACCGCATTGTCAAGCTACTAGTCCGCTTAAGCAGTCAGAAGGCAGGCGCCACCAACAGCCTTGATCTTCTTCTCCGCCTCAGCCGAGAAGTACTTGGCCTTGACGATCACGGGCACCTCCGGAAGGCGGCCCTTGCCGAGCACCTTGAAGTAGCCGGCCTTGGTCACGTCAATGACAGGGGCCTTGCCGTCCTTGGCCTTCTCGGCCTGCTCCTTGGTCTTCTCCGACACCAGAGTCCACAGACGCTCCACGTTCACCGTGGGGCAGTGCTGACGGTTACGAAGCAGGTGGAAGTGGCGCATACCGACCTTACCGAAGTAACCCGGGTGAAACTTGTCCATAAGGATACGGTGGTGGTGCTGGCCACCGGCGTTACCGCGACCACCCGGATGCTTGCGGTGCTTGCCGATACGGCCGTGGCCGGCGCTCACGTGTCCGCGTTTCTTGCGGTTCTTGGAAAAACGGGACGGCTACGCAGGCACAAGCACACATAACACACGGCCTGTCAATCTCCCACGCTCATAATTGATATTGACGCGACGAGAGCTGGAGAGAGAGACGTCGCTAAGAGTTTCGCCCTGTTTCCACGTTTCCTGTGAAGTTCTGCTGTTCTGCCCTCTCTCTCCTGCTCAGGTCCTGCTTGACTAGATAGCGTAGGGCCTTACCATATTGACTTGGTGATAAGCGAATGCGAATGGAGAACGGTGCAGCTAAGAGCAAAGAGGTAGCGGCGAATGGTTGGCTCATTGGCTCCCGGAACCAGACATACAAACGGATAGTCAGACGTAGGAGCTTACAATTTTCTAGTTCTCTTTACTAAAGTCAGGTTCTCACTACAAACAGTAAGTAAATTGACCGGTTCACATGAACCGGTTTCGTCAATAATTGTTCATTTGAAAATAAATTTCGACACAATAATTAATTGAATTGATAGTTGAAGTGGAGTCCCAATCGTCGCTGCAGAACTGCCAGCTGCGGTTGTGGGAGTCTATGAGCTCTAGCACAGCGATTTCCGACGTGCAACCACGTAGATCGGATGCAACTGATCTTGGCAGTTCGAGTGATGCCGCTACTGTGGCTGAAGGCGCATCGGACGAGTCGCTGTGGGTCCGCAAATGGGACGACGATACCAACCAGCTCTACTACTTCAACTTGCGCACACAGGAGAGCTCCTGGGAGGAGCCTAAGGCTTACAAGGCGGTGATGATGTCCGAGCCTTTAAACATGAACACAGAGAGAGCAGAGGAGGCAGTAGAATACTCACCACAGGACGAGCAGAAGCAGAGTGACGCTTCTGTGATGATCCAGAGCTTGTATCGCGGCCGCAAAGACCGCAAGAGGGTGGGGGAGGCGCGCAAGTGGACAGAGCAGTTTGACCCCGCCACTGGTCAAAAATACTACTACAACAGCGAGACGGATGAGTCCCAATGGGAGAAACCCGTCGACTTCTTGACCGGACTCAAAGACGAGCGAAGTGCTCGTGCCGTGAAGATCCAGAGCGTATTTCGAGCCAAGAAGGCGCGAGACCGAGTGAAGCAGCTTGTAGACGAAGAGGAAGAAGAAGAGCAACTCGAGCAACACCTGCGAGAACATGAAGCAGTTGCAGCAGCAGAAGAGAAGCTGGCAGCTCTGGCTGCAGAGTCTAGCACTCGAGCGCAATGGTGCGAGTACTTTGACCCTCGGTCGGGCAAGTATTACTACCGTCATGGCGTCACCAACACAATAACGTGGGAGAAGCCAGAGGAGTACGTCTCGTCATGGGTGGACGGCAGCAAGCAAGATCGTGCTGCCTTGTCTATTCAGTGTGCAGCTCGAAAGCGAATCGCTGCCAACGAGGTCGCTGCCAAGAGAGCGAAGCTACGCGCACTTACAGACCCTGCTACAATGCAGCTCAAGCTGGGGGAACTGAAGCAGGTGTCGATCGAGATCCAAGCAGAGATAGAGGCTCGTGCCCTTCTTTCGACAGAGGAAGAGCAGCAGTTCCCACATTTATCCAGCTTGATAACGGGGTGGAAAGAGTCTCTGGAGAGCATCAAGAGCCACGTGATATCGCTGGAGAGCAGAGCTGAGGATATCTTGCTAGCTGAATGTCTAGCAGCACGTATCGTCCATGCTGAGCGCTTCCATAAGGCGCTGGCTGAGATGCGCAGCGAGTGTCTAGCTCTATTGCGCAGCATTTTGCTGATGAATAGCTACTTCGTGGACCTTGACGTCACGCGGATCAACGCTGCCTGCACGACGTTTGCGAGTTGGAAATCCCATGAACTGTGTGCACTGAAGGACTCTCGCCTATTGGAAATTGTTCAGTGGAGTGACATTTGTCAGCTACTTGAACACGTTGAAGCTCTTCTCCGACGATGCATGGGGCTAACGGACTTCAACAATGGATCGACTTGTGCAGCTGGAAAACGCTACGAGGACTGGCATCCTTCGGTCGCTGCTGCACTGGCTGGTGTTCGCGAAATGGAGGTAGCTTTGGCTCAGAAGATGCAGCTTCTCCGTGGATATCGAGCTGCTGAAGTGAGAAAGCGCGAGATTTCACACATGGCCGAAGAAGACTTACTCGCCTGTCGTCTGGTACAGATGCAACGACGCCGCAAGAACGAAGAGAAGGATCACGCTGCATTGGTAATCAAGTGTCAGGAATACTGGAAGAAGGGCTTAAATCAGCGAGAGGAAGACTCAGAGGATGCTGCTCGTGAGAGTACAAAAATGCAGAGACATACGAAGGGCTCCAAAGATCCCAATTGTGGCCCGATACACGATTCGGACCACGACAACAAGGATAAGCTGTCGATATGGGAAGCCACAAAGGAAGGATTTCCTGTCGAGGTCGTGAGTGCGATTCTTTCGGTGGAGAGGCAAAAGGCTCGCCGACTTGGTTATGACTTCTTAGTGAAGACAGCTCGCTCTGATCAGGGCGAAACTCTTATCCAGATAGCGTGCTGGTGGGGGCACGAGGTAAGGAACCCGATGAAGAGTTATAGTGACCAGTCTAAGGTTTTGCGTTCTTTTCAGCACCTCATTAGGTTCTTGCTGGAGGAAGGTGCGCAAATTGACGGCATCGACAGCACGTACAATCGTTTTTCACTGCTGCACGACGCAGCTCGACGGGGTCATTCTCACGTCGTACGTGGTTGTTTGCTATGGTTCGGGCAATAACTTTATCGTGCTAATTGATGCTAGATTTGTATTCTACTCGAGCATGGACTTCCGTGTAACGTGACAGATAGTGCTGGAGACACACCATTCCATTGGTACGAATGCGTTATCTATTGGGTTTGGATTGATACGTTTTGTAAAGCTGAGGGTTTTCATCATTTTGTAGGGCAGCACGCAAGAACAACTTCAGTGCTGTCCTCACGCTTCTAGGAGTGTATTTATCCGAGAGAGACAAGGCAAGTGCTGAAGGGATTATTAGGGCTGTTCGCCAAAAGAATCTCCGTGGCAAGACAGCTTTAACCATTGCGAAAGGAGAACGCGTGCGCAGTATCCTGAAATCAGCAGAGGAAGGGCGACTACCACCGTTGCGGTGACCTCGCACCGGTGATGAAAGACCTGCTACTGTAGGATATTCGCGCCTTGTGACGGAAATTAATCAGCTAGACCGAGTTCGGGGCAGTACCAAGAAGAGCTAGACAATGTACACCAAATTTTGACCTGAATGATCTGTTAGTCTCGCTGTAACGCATCGATGAAAGCTATTTTGAAGTCAGAGATAAATTGGTCAGTACTGGAGCACTCAAAACGTGCGCTACTGTCTTTCTGTTGTAGTCATGCTCTCGATATCACCACCGGATAGGGTGGATCAGCTCATGTAAGTATGTTCTCATTTGTCACGCATGCTTATGGCTCGTAAAAACTCACTTTTTCTTCATTCCAGATCTGTTTTCTCGCACCGACTCCAGCCTTTGGCGCTTCAACGGTTAAGTGTGGCTGGTGAGGTAATTGTCTTGGCGTGGATTCGTAGATTTTGTGCAGCTAAATTGCTAGTATGTCAATGTCTTGCATGCTAGAAATCCTCCAGGATGCTTCTGCATTGGCAATTATTCAGGAAGACATCCCGGACATAGACAGCTTCCACATCATGAAGCAACAGAAGCCCTGTTTCGGACGTATGCTGAAATTCCTCCGTGTACACGAGCCTACTGGATACGAAAAGGATGAGGAGCATAAGCGCATTGCTGTACGTTATCTTGCACTACGAACGATGCTCCAACAGTGTAGCGACATCAAGGTCTGTAATCTCCAGACCAGAACATCGTCAACGTTCGAATTCTGACACCGTGAATACCTTGGGCAGGTCTCCACTATCCAAGAAACTTGCGTCAACAAGATGCTTCGCTGGTTTGAAGAAACGGAGGCAAGTGCATCTGTACGCTCTAAGTCAGCCACTTGACCTAAGTTTTGCATCTGCTAAATAGGCCTCAACGACAGCATCGACACCAATTTTGCCACCACGGATGGTTACAATTCAGCACTTTATCCGGCTGACGGACCGAGTTACTGACTTATATATGTTCTTCGACATGTGTAGTCCCCCAAGAAGCCTTGCTTCCCGCCAGCCCCAGCACTAGACAAATGCTTCAGCGAGTCGAGCTTTCTTTCCAGTAAAACAAACGCCTCAAATGCATCCGTAGCCGCCAAGCTCGAGGTACATTTACAGCTTTTAATGATTTCCGCAATCTAACTTGACTGCCGCAGAAATACAAAATGCCCGACTTGCGAGCCTCACACATCCGCCGAATCGCCGAACTACGATCGAGGGGTGCAGCCATTTCAGACAAGGTAAGCAACTGAGACTAGTTTTATTGAGGAGTTATAGTTGACTGCATGGTGGCTATTTCCTAGGGTTTATCTGAGGATGAAGACAACAATCGCGTTCATCGCAAACGACAAGGATTCGATGATGGCCGGAGGAAGGAAGACGAAAAGCGCATGGTTGAAGCCACATTCAAGCGTTATCACCCCGAAACAGACGCAGAGGTACGCTGGTTCTCGATAATTAATGCAAGCTGTGGCTTGCCTCGTCTAAAAAAAACGTGAATGACTTGATCAGCGAGAAATGAATTTGTTATGGATCCGACGTCGTCATGAAGATGAAATCAAGCGCACAAAAGATGAAGAAGTTCAACAGCGAGTGCAGAAGTGGGCTATGAATCGAAGTCGTGACGAGTGTGAGAATCTTAGAAAATGGGAGTCTACCAAGCTAGTCGCCGGACTTGGTCAATTGTTACAGGAAGGAGTCGACCAAGAGAGACCATTCGCACGGCAAAGCTCAAGTTATCTACACCCTGATTTAGCTGGAATAGCAAACCAGTCTGCTGTAGTTCCAACAAAACCTGCAACGAAAGATGAGAAGGAAGCACCACCGCAAGGCGTTATCTCCACTCGCAGACAAGCTCAAACAAACAAAAAGCAGCCAGCTCAGATCGTGATCAAGTGTAGGACGACATCGACATCGTCAGGTGGCGGTATGCATTTCCGAAACCAGTTGCCGCCAAACTACGTGCCTCCAGGACTACTCGCAGCATCGTCTGTGCCTAAATCCAAGTGCCAGACATCCATCACGCTGAGCACGAGGCCATCATGCAGTAAAGAGTCTTCTGGCTCACTTGGTCGCTTGGAAAGACGATCTTCTGCACTTTCGGATGAGTCATCAAGTAGTGAAGAGGAGGAAGAGGGGCCAGCGATAGATGACAGTGCAATAAGGAAAAGAAGGAGTGATGATGGTCGTCACCGGATGAAACTTCAAAGCTACCACGTGCCATACTACTACAACGACAGCATAGATCAGACTACCGTTGCAAAAATGTCAGCTTTACAACAGGTAAGGTTTATAGGTGTTGTTACTTGTGAAGTTTGTACTAAACCATGCTTTCAATGTCGCAGGCACACCCTCGAGGAACAATTCCAGCCCAATCTCTGCCAGCAGATCCAGAACTTCGTTGTCTTCAAGAGGCAAGTGCAATGCGCCGAGTCTTCGCACTGCCGTCTGAAAAGGTATAGCAGAGCACTATTCTCTCATGTTGATGCCAACTCTAATATCATTGCGTTCATCGGCGCAGAAGACAGAGCGAGATCCTTCGTCGTCCCGGAAATCGGCTCGCTCAGAGCCGAGCAAACCTCGTGGTGGTTCAAAGTCTGCAAAGGAGAAGCGAGCTCTCAACAGCAATCGAAACGGTGTCGTTCTTCCTCGAACAGCACCAAGTTATACTCCTCTTGAGTCACAATTCACTGCGTCTACAAGTGATCTCCGTAATACTCAGATGGAAGAACTGGAAAAGATCCGCCGTTTATTCGACGAGAACAATTTGTCCTTCTCGCCTGAAGTTCTGGAGCGAGGATTGCTCGTCCCTGAAGACCGGCCGCTGCTAGAGAGCATCAACAACTTGCCCTTCCCAGGATCACGTCTGCTGGATAACCCACTCAACCGATCCAAAGCAGCCAAACCCAAGAAGAAACCGGCAAGCTCTAAGAAGAAGAAGAAGGCCAAAACGGGCAAGAAAGGCTCCAAGACACCTAAAAGCGCTCGTCGAACAGCCAAATGACCTAAAATAAAACAGAACACAAATGTAGCCATTTGACATCTGATTACCGTATCTCACAAAATAAATGCTTTGGCACAATTCCGAATTAACGTTTGAGACACCCGATTTTTTTTCGTGAAACTGCTATTTTTGTGTTACGATTTGGTAGCAAAAACTTCTCATTGGTCAAAAATCAACCGGGACGACATCACGGGAGTTGTGAGCGTATACAACCTTTCTCAATGCAGTAAATGAACTGATATATTGATATAGTAAGTTTCTCTCAGCTTAAACCTTCCACGTGTTGGTTCGAAGCTGCGCACTATATAGACCGTTGTCCTTAAGTCGGGCGATGTGCTATTGAAAGAGTTCTGTGTTTGCTGTACGCGGGTCTTGACCAAGTCTCTTGAGCAAGTACTTGTAGTCGGTCCACGGAACACGTATTAAGGAAGCTGGTGGCTTCCTAGGATCCCTTGCTTGTAGTGGTGCTGATTTCACAGTGAGGTCTCAGACTAGCTTGGGAGAACTCTCTCCAAGGAGGCTCACAAGCTTCGTCCTCTAAAAGTCCTAGCTACTCTACCACCAGCTCGGCTTCGGTATCTTATCCTACGCCCAGTGAGTGAGCCACGTATTGTACATGAACCCACTACACCGCCCTTCCAAGACTTGACTCACGATCTCTGCTTGTACCTTGTCTTGATCAATATGTAGTACACAATGCTTCACGGTCACCCCGTCATAGCTGCCACTGCATCCTGAAACGAACGGTTGCCTTGAGAAGCTGAGTAGTTCCTCACCATGGCGGGTATGTCCTTGTAGAGGCTTGTCATAGACTCCCATGAGTCATCGATAGGCTCCAAACCCTTCCACGAGACGAGTATCTCAAACTCACGCTTGTTGCTGTTCCACCTGTGTTCGAGAAGAGCAGCGACTGTGAGGATAACCCCTTGCGAGGCAACGTGCTCTCGAACTTCCTCCGTCACTTCAAAAATCTTATCAGCGTAGAACTTCAGCCTAGAACTGTGCACATCTTGCTCTGCGCCAGTTACCAGGTGCCGTACTCTAAAAGAGTTCTCTTCGGCTTGAACGACTTGGTATGGGCCTATCCAAGTCACCAGTAGTTTGTCGTTATGCTTCTGGTCTACCCGAGACCGTAACACGAAGTCTCCTACGTCAAAATTGGGTTTTACTGCATGTTTTGGCTTCCGTTGGTTTCGCTTCGTCTGTTTGGAGCGAGCAGTAATCACCTTTTTGTGCATGAGGTGAGCCCTCTCTCGTAGAGCCTCCAACTTGGCTTCAATGTGTTCTGGAAACCCACCCAGATCCACCAGTCTCTTTTGGTCCTCATCCAGATAGAAACTCAGGGGTGACACCGCCGGAAGCACGCAAAACAATTCCACGGGAGCGTGGTTGCCTAACGAAGGCACGGGTGTATGATTGAGGTTGGCCTGAAGAGCTGCAACGAAGTAAGTCCAGTCCTTGATGTCGACCTGGTACTCCAGACACATTGCCCTTAGAACCTGGATAATGTCTTTGTTCAGTCTCTCAACTGACCCGTTAATCAATGGTGAGTACCCCAGAGTGAACTTCTGGTTGGAGTTGAGTCGCTTGCTAACTTCCTTCACCACTTCGTTCTTGAAGTGCGACCCGTTATCACTAATCCACAGTCCAGGTGCCCCGAATCTGCTATGCCAATCCATTATAGCTTGCGCCGTCACCACACTAGTCGGTACGACACACGGAACCAACTCACAATAGTGGGTAGCGTCGTCTTTCATCACGAGTAGGTAAGCGTAGTTGCCAAACGACTTGCCAAGATATAAGTAATCCCAGTGCAAAGCTTCGTTCCTCTCGTTACTGCGAAAGGTTTCCGCCCAAGGTCGATGCTCAATCCTTCCCCCCTTCACATGATGGCACAGTAGACAGCCACGAAGGAAATTGTCGACTCGTTCACGGAGTTTTGCAATTGAGAAGCGTCGCTGAACGATTTCCATTAGAGAGTCACGACCGCGATGCCCTTGTGGCCCGCAGTGCGCCACCACTAGCAGTCGCTGCACGATACTGCTGTCTTCGTTTGGTATCCAGATGCACCCATCCTTGGCCCACAGACCATCACCTCCTTGTGATAGACCTCTTGGTCTTGCTGCTTCGTGCTGCTTCTGACTTGCAAGTATTGCTTCAACATCCGGCCAGTCAAAACTGTCGTTGCTGAATGGACGAATTGGTATTGGCCTTAGATAACGCTCGATATCACTTTCTTCGACGTGATTAGCTTCGTTAATTTCCTCCTCGTTTGGCCGTGTACGTTTCCGCCGTAGTCGCTTCATGGATACACCGGTCGAGCGCTGGCACCCCGCCCAACGTGATATCATGTCTGCCCAAACGTTTTTCACGCCCTCAATGTGCTCAATCGAAAACCTGTACTCCATGAGCTTCATTGACCAGCGCAACAGCTTGCCTCGCACGTGCTTCTTGATTTCTTGCGCCGGAGCGAAGACGTGAATGAGATTCCTGTGATCGCAGTACATGCGGAAACCCTTAGGTCTCATCAACAAGTACGAGAGCTTGTCACATGCGGTGACTATCGGGTAAGCTTCCTTCTCAATGACGCTCCAATTGCGTTGCGCCCCAGTGAAAGTCCCTCCCATACAGACTAACAATTCATGCTCTTGCTCGTGAATAGGAGCTTGTACCTTCCACTCAGTCACTTGAGTCACTATCACAGACCACCCAACGTCACTTGCATCTGTAACTACGATAGTCTCGGCTTCCGCCTTCGGAAATGCGAGCATTGCACTACCAGCTAGTGCTTCCTTCAACTTGTCAAAAGCCTCCAACTCGGCTGTACTCAGCGCGATCGGAATACCACTTGCCACTCGCTTCGTCCGCTTGGACGTGTGTGCCATGAAAGAGTCAAATTTCTCTTGAAGGGGTCGCACCAGCCGGCCATAGTCAATGATCGAAGTCCTCATCCAGTTACTCGAGCAAATAAACTGCTGTAGTTCACCAGCAGTGGACGGGTAAGGAAGTGCGCTAAGCGCTGCAATCCGTTCTGCGTCATGCCGTACTCCACTGCCGTCTATCAGTTTGCCACACCACTTAACTTGCTTCTTAAAAACACAGGACTTGGTAGCACTCAGCTTGAAACCGAATTCATTCACTAGACTGAAAAGCTCTCCAAGCTTATCCAAGTACTCATCCAAAGAATTTGCGTACAATAGCAGGTCATCGATCCACACTAACAAGTGGTCGTAGAGCAGAGAGGCAAAGCATCGCTCCATCGTCGCTTGAAAGTACAGTGCAGCATCCGAACAACCTTGCGGCACTCGACGTGGCGTGTAAATCTTGCGGTGGGTCATGTACGAGAGAATTTCTTGGGAAGTTTCATCTAAAGGCAATTGCCAATACCCCTTGATAAAGTCAAAAAGTCCAAAGAACAAACTTCCAGCCACTCTCTCTAAATCCACATCCAGGTTTGGCATCGTGCCAGCGAGAGGCTCCACCTGCGCATTTGTCGGCTTGTAGTCAGTCGTCTGTCGGAACTCGTTAACTCCTCCAGCTTTCTTCACCGGTAAGGCCGGGCACGCCCATCTCGCATCAGGATTTTCGTACACCCATCCAAGACTCACCAATGTGTTGTTAAAGTTTTCGAGAAACCGCTGTAGTTCTGCCGGTACTTCCTAGCCTTCGTCTTGTACGGCTTAGCCCCAGGCTTCAGCCGTATCTTAAGCGGAGGCACTTTAGCTGGCGGGTCATCGCCCAGTGTAATGCGCCAGATATCGTACATGTAGACCACAGTCCGAAGCCTGTCGACACGATCACTTGGGAATCCTTCATCCAAGGCTCTTACGATCATCGCTTCAACTGCTTCCTTGATCTCATCATCGTCCTTCCTGCTCACCTCAGGGTCATCATCAATGTCGTCATCGTCGGTGCCATCGGACCAGGCCAGCAACTCAAGCTGCCTGTCAACGTCGATTCCCAACATGTTCAGTACATCACGACCAAGCAGAAACTCATCGTTACCATCCACAATCAAACACTCCACGGGAGAGTGAATGTTGACTGGTCCAGCCGCTGTCCTCAGCGACAACTTCAAATACACAACCTCCTTCACCTTCAAAGTACGTCCACCAACCAGTTCACACAAAATAGGTTGACGCAATTCCACAATTTCAATCACTTCTCCACTCAATTTGTCCACATCAGCTCGAGAAATGCACGACTTGAACGCTCCACTTTCCGCACAATACGGTAGTTCAAGTAAGTCGTTCACTCGCACAGTCGGTTTTTCTTCAGGCAAACACTGCCTAAGTCGACGGAGGCGTGCGGTGCCTCCCTTGCTGATTGGACTGAAGTCTGCGCTGGTTGTTGTTTGAGCTGAAAGTGTTGGTGTCCGTTCTGCTCTCCACACGGGGACAGTCTCGCACTAAGTGCCCTCCACCACAGTTGAAACAGCCACGCTGCTTACTACTACGACCATTTTGCTGTGTGATGCCTTTTTCTTCAACACGACGGTCAGACTGCCGTGGCTGGCTGTTATTTGGAGTGTTTCCTTGGTTTTGTCGCTTGCGAGTAACAAACGAGTTGGTTTTCCCGTTGCCACCACTGTCGTTGTTGTTCTGCTTGCGTTTTCCTCCAACACCAGCAACTCGCAACGCACGGTCAATTTTCTCCTGGTCCAAAGCTTGCTCCATGATGAGCTTGAACAATTCAGGTACACTTGATTTTGCTCCTTGAGCCCGAAAGTCAATCTCATTTTTCACTCTCTTTTTCAACCTACCAGGTAAAGAGCTCATTAAGATTTTGCACTTCTTCTTTAATCCATCCTCGGTCTTGAAGAGTCCCACAAGACCATTGGTACGAATCAGCGTGTTGCACGAGTGGAAGTAGCTGATGACCTGGGCCTCCACATCACCCTGACTCTCATCCATCGACAGCTCACGCTGGAACAGTTCCTCAATGTTAGGCAGGGTGCGATTCTTGAAACT